GACCTATTCTACCCCGGATCTTCACGGGTCTTTGACCCACGATTTCTTTAATAATTCATACTTTAACTTTCGGCATTTACAGCTAACACGCGGTTTGCCTGAAGGCTCATGAATATCTGTGTTACAATCAAACCGAAACATGAGTCTCATTAACCTATTCAGACAATGACCTACTTTAAAGGCGATCCGAATTTTCTCGTTTGAAAGTGAAAATAGACATCGTAAACAACTATGGTTACACTGAATTCCAATTCCTTGTTCCATAAGAAAATGGTATTTACAAATGAATTTTAATTTTAAAGTTTAATAACATCGTATTTCTATATTGTATGGCGAAGTGTAGGCAGCATGACCTTATCTAAGACGTCACAGACTGCCCCTGTTTGATGAGGTCGTAAAATGATTCACAATTCATCTGGCACACTGGTTACACATGTTATGTATTATTTGTGCTTATTCAGTGCGGTTCTGTAACGCACAATGTGATTGATATAATATCAAGTCCGTACCAGACCGTCAAACTTTTTAGCGGGAGCGCCTCGTTTTGAGATTTCCAGGTTTCCGTTTGTTTGAGCTCGCTGTACGACAGAGCACGCTGCACGAGGTGTTTGCAAGGATTAGAAGGAGCGTAGTGTTGCAATATACAAGTGCTTAGATGTATGAAAAAATACTGATTAATAGTTATGTATCCAGTTAAATGAATTGGTCCCAAAATTCTGGACTAGTTATTGTACTAAGTTGCGCAATAAGACGGGACCCAGTCAACAGGAAACGAGACTGTTGTGTAAACAATGTTTTGACTTGGGTCTTTAATGCTTGTCGTAAGAGGCGACTGATGTGACAGGGAGGTCAGACTTGCTAACTTATATTAACACATCGTATCGCAGATAGATGCTCATCTTGTTGACCACTGGATTGTCTGGTCCAGACTCGATTATTTACAGACCGCCATCATATAGCTGGAATATTGTTGACTGCGGCGTAACACAACAAACAAACAAAACATTTCTTGAGGCGAAATACCAACCCTTCCTAACACGTATTTCAGGTAGCAGGGACAAGGGAGGAAGGGACGAAATGTCTGTTTACATGTGAGAGGTATGGATCGCTTCACCACAGTGCTGTACACTAGTGATTGATAATGAGATTAAGATAAGAGAGAAGCAGAGTGTGTGAACGGAATGGAGACGAGTGGAGCAGAGATAGAGAGGTAGCATACAGAAAACTAACCAGGAAATTAACATTCTATTATGTTGACTAAATCAATCAGTGGGCATATAACGGGGGAAGTGGTGTATGTCAGTTTCGCATATGTCACGGTGACCTAATAACACGACGATACATACATGTATTTATAACCACAACCTTCACATGTCAATAAAACAACAATGGAATATTTTCATTGCAGAATTCATAGTATCTGCCCAGCTGTTCAACCAATATCACTGTGCGATCTGCGCTCACACCCCACTGTTTCGCGTACAGTAATGAAAACCGAGGCCATTAATATACGTACAACTTTTATTTGATTGTCTGTTCGTCCCGACTGGACCAGGACTCGTGCAAATGAACGACACTAATTTACATTTTTAGAGTAAGATACGTCAATATCTGCTTCCTGTATACCCTTAAAAATAGGAGTTCCTTGGAATTTATTCCAAATTTCAAAAACATGTAATAGATGTTAGCTCCTAGTTGCATGATGATAATGGAGGAACTGGAGCGGCAGGACACGTTGCCGTCATGCATGGAGATAAAGTGCACGTACAGTAGACGATTTCTAATTGATTAACTCGTATAGTATGTTTGCGGTGAAAACGTACCGATGAATTTCACTTTAAACAAAAATGTAAATCAAATAAAGAGAAATTAAGATTGCGAATCCTCATAATTTGTGCTCTCTGTTTTTAATTGGTTTGTTAATTTCGAGAACACTGGGGGTGAAGTCACTCACGTAGAACATCATCTCCCTTTCCCCGGACTGTCGACAAGTAATTTGGACGGATTATTTGTTGTTGTCGACAGTCCGGGTATAAACCATTTCACACAACATATGGTTCGTTTTCTAGCCGGCCGTGGTTCCCCGCGGTCACAGGTGGAGCAGAGGGTAGTGTTCCTCGGTGAATGTGACATTCGCCTCCAGTATCAACTGACACCAGTATCAACTGACACCATCTCAAACTCGATCAGTCGTCGCAAAGTCAATGTTTTTATCCCTTTTCTATTTGGCTAGCCAGGGTTTAAAAATCTCTTATATGTAAGTGTGCAAAATATACCAGTTTACGATAATAAGAACAGTTAATCCCACTACATACTTCCAGTTTACTGTCTCATCATCAGTGTTTATAGTTTTCAGATTAGATAATTGTTCGATCAGGCGGCGACCCGTGAAGATCCGGGTTAAAATAGGTCTTCAGCAACCCATGCTTGTTGAAAGAGGCGACTAACGGCATCGGGTCGTCAGGCTCGCTGACTTGGTTGACACATGTCATCGGTTCCCAATTGCGTAGATCGATGCTCATGCTGTTGATCACTGGATTGTCTGGTCCAGACTCGATTATTTACAGACCACCGCCATTACAGCTGGAATATTGCTGAGTACGGCGTAAAGCTAAACTCACTCACTCACTCACTCGATCAGGTGGCCCATGGGAATGATCCCTGTTTGTATTAATTTTGAGGGTTGTTTCTTTAGATCCAAGTTTCTCACAGTCTACATGAAAGGTTCTCATAGTAAAATACAGAAAACATTTGGCTGACTAAGTGTAGAAAATTATCCTCGAACGTATATTCAGTTTTATTACAGTATTTCGGAAATAAGGATAAGTGATTGTTCGAAACGAGCATGAGGCGTTTAGTCTGGTTATCCCTGAAGGTGGAAAGCCGTTAAAGCCCGGGAATATGTGTTATCTTCTCCCACAGGACAATCTAATCTGGTATCTGTAGTAACTATATCATTTTAGTCAAATAGATAGGATAGATAGCCTGATCCTGTGACCAGATGTTAAATATTCTGTAATAGTCATAATGGGCATCCCTTCTGTTTGACCTGCCTGCTGGACCTGCCTGCTGGACCTTATCTTCAGTGTTCACAACTAGAGCTGACAAGTTGATTGGGTACATTGGACTGGCGGTAATCTTTTAAAGGCTGGGTACATGTTTCGACCTCCGAATTCTTCAATAATGCATACTTAATAGTACCTTTGGCATTTACAAACACCAGTTCACCAAACTGTACTTAGTGACCCCGGCGCTCATTTCTTGGTGGCTGTTAAACGATGCTTGAGTCACGGGCAAGGACTGATGAACATGATGCCTTTCAGACTTTCCGTTTATATCTAACAGAGGATGAGAGTAATGTTTCAAAAGTTATCATCATCCCATTCCGTGGTACACGTCAACCTTTTATAGCAATGATAATCCCTTTACTTTTCCTCAGGTTTTCCAGCCAAGTTAAAATTTGTTGGCAAATGGACTTTAGCCTCGTTTAGAAGGGTCGATAAATGGTTAATAGTGAGTGTGTCATGAGTTTAGTTTTACGCCGCACTCAGCAATATTCCAGCTATATGGCGGCGGTCTGTAAATAATCCAGTCTGGACCAGACAATCCAGTGATCAACTGCAGGAGCATCGATCTACGCAATTGGGTACCGATGACATGTGTCAACTAAGACAGCGAGCCTGACCACCTGATCCCGTTATTCGCCTCTTATGACAAGCATGCATGGGTTACTGAAGACCAATTCTAACCCGGATCTTCACGGGTCTAAATGGTTAATAATAATAGTGCTTAGAGACAGTAGCGTAGCGTGTCGCAAGAACGCATTTATTTCGTCTCGTTTAGCATTTTTGACATGTGCAGCGACAATCAAATGCATGCATTTTCCATTTTGTCCATCCTTAATAAGATACTATATCAAAACCAAATGTATTTCACACTCAACCGTTAAAAAGAACAGTGCACATGGTTTGAATATATAAACTCCATAGAGGCGTTGGTATTGTGGTGCTACTATCCGGATGAGATTAAACTGCAGCGGGGAATCACTTTGAATGTCACGTTTCTTCCACTACCAGGCAATAACAGACAGGTAGTGCCAAAGATCTCATCGTAGATTTTAGAAGCAACAAAATTTACACTATGCCTGTTGCAATCAAGGGTGAAACTGTCAACATTGTAACACAGTACAAATATCTTGGACTATCATCGACAGTTAACTACAGTGAGGTCCAAAAACTGACTTATTGTTATGAAATGCCAGCAAAGATTGTATTTTATACGCAAACTGAGATCTTTTTAACGTTAGCATAAAGGTGATGCTGTTGTTTTATCGTTGTGTTGTTGAATGCAGTTTAGCCTTTTCAATTCAATGCTGGTATGGCTCTCTTAATATCCATTTCTGGTGTCCCCCGCCGTGATATTGCTGGAATATTGCTAAAAGCGGAGTAAAACTAAACTCACTCACTCAGTCTCTTACTATCAAAAGCAAATATTTATCTTGACAAAAAATTTTTATTCGCCCCCCAAAAATAAACTTAATTCTGTCCTACATGGGGGTTAAGCCTCCAGACTAATACATCAGCAGTATCAGATAACTTTACTTAAGTGGGAAATTAAACTAGAACCAGATTGTGATGGGTGAATTCATGCTTTATCTATTAGACTATACATCAGTTCGACATGCCTTGTAAATATTCAAATCTACTTGCCAAAATTATATTGCTTGATGATGGCACTTTTTTCATTTTCACATATTATTTCAAAATGAACGTTGACAAATACCAAACAATAGTTGATGATATTTTTCTGTCATTATTGTGATTCATTTTCAGACATTACACCCCTCAGAAACAATTATTGTCTCTTCCGGGGGAGTATTTCTCTGTGAGTGTAAACGATGTAGATATTGGCCAATTTTGGAGGCGTGATCCCAATTCTACATTTTCATTGGATAACACCTGTACCAATTTGTCCAATCAGATAAGGTATTACATAGCCTCTCCGTCATTTCGCACAACATCGCAAGTCAGGATGGTAAGCCCCTACAACACCTTGATTTACTTCGATTTTCGACTGAGATATTCTCTAAATATACTTTTACAACTTGATCTTTTACTCTTTTCAGACAACATACACAGATAAAGGTCCTAAGGTAAGTGTCACGTTTGTAGTCTTCCCGAACATCAGTCGCATTTCCATGTCAGATTACTTCGACCTTGACCTAACCCACGTGTCCTCAATATGTTTGTATTTTCAGCCAGAGTCGGGGCGATTTGTCACCTTCGACCATGTCACATTCTGGGTTGGCAACGCTAAACAGGTGCGTGTTTTATTTAGCTAAGATATGTTTGTTGATTGACAAGTGTCATCGATCGATTGAGTTGTGTTGATAAGTGCGATCGAGGCACAAATGGGCGAGTCCATTAAGTCCATACGAGGGGTTGCGAGTTACAATATGCGAAGCGGCTGATGTAAATATTGCGTCATCGGTACGACCGTGTTAGTCGATTTTCGGGCCCTTGCCAAGCCACGTTTTATACGGGCGAATGGTGGTGATTGTTCTCGTTAAAGGGACAGGTCAATATAATAATTATAGCTTGCCAAGGTATAGAGGTCAAATTTTAAGGGTCCGAGTGTTAAATGTATGATGTAACAGCACCTATACTAGGATATATTTCTTGAAAGCTAGCATACTGTATATATATTTAGAGTCTAATTCGACGACTGTGTAATAAATTTACGATATAAGGCCGGTGGGTTGTCATTCACATTGTACATGATTCTCCATGATAATCATCATCACCCCCTCCTAGCCATAAATTATGAACTGTCCCAAACTACACTATTTTACATGCACATAAATTCTTTTAAGACTGTAGACAATGGCATTGGAACTTTTTGGTGATGACATAACAGTACTGATACTTGAAGGTATAATTATAGTATGATTAAAGGGTCAGTCAAATCATCATAGGTTTAATTCCAAAATCTGTCCAGATTACATAATTGCCAGTTTGTTGATCCACAACTTATTAATGAGTTTCATGAAGGTGGTAAATAACAGGCTACTAAATGTTGTATAAATGTGTTGTGGACAAACAGACCTTCACCCAGAAGTGTTACCCTTCTCATCAGAGTACAATGTGCATCAATCCAACTTGGTGCCCATTCTGGATATTTCTGGAATGTTCCAAACATTGGGAATTTCTTTGCTTGCATGCTTTGGGTAATGGAAATCTGATATTTATGGTCACCTCAGATGAGGGGTGGTTGGGTAGCCTAGTGATTAAAAGCATTTCCTTGTCATGCCGAACAACCGGGGTCAACTCCCCACATGGGTACAATGTGTGGAGCCTATTTCTGGGGTAACCTCCCCAAAACTTAGACACTCATATCTTAGACACCTTAAAACAACAACATTTCTGGTTGAGTGCACAACTAATCCTCAAGCTGATACCTATTGTTATAATGGATCAGTCCAGTAAAATCAATAAGAATTTTTTTTATCTTGATACAGAATATTAATTGAGTTCAACATGCACAATAAATAAACAATAAAGATAGTACTATGTCAGTTTGGTAATCATACACCGAGATCATCACATCAATAACAAAAATATATTTAATCTACTTATTTATCATGACCATTTCTCAAGTCCATTAGTACAGAACAGAAGAGGTCCTAAAACGGAACCTTGGGGCACGCCAGCTTCCACAGATTTAATATTTGAACTTTAGCAATGTACATGTATCTTCAAACTTAATCCCTCTTGTAGAGTTGATATCACTTGTTGATCAATACAAGCTAGGCCCACTAAGCAGGGAGCACCAATTAGGAATGTTCCATTTCAGCCATGGGTGTTGTCTTAGTTAATCTCCCTCATTGGTGTCTAAGATATGGGTGTCTAGTTTTGGGAGATAACCATTTCTGGTGTCCCTGCCCTCATGTTGCTGGAGTATTGCTAAAAGCAGAGTAAAACTAAACTCACCTACTCACCGACTCACCCACTCGCCCACCCACTCACTCAGACGAGACAAATGTCTGTGTGTGCCTTTTGAGGTTAAAGTGTTCCAACAAGAAGAATGCTTAAAAAGATAAAAGTGGATGACATGCTTAATCATCACCAGATCTTCATTTATGTCTTAAAGTGATGGGAATCAGAAACCAAATCCACTATTGATTATCGAAGGACTTATGGTGAATGATTATCGATTATAATCGAAATATATAGTTTTTAATGTAATCACCAATCTTAAAGTTTTTCCCCAGATTTTTTTCTAATCAATGTTTGTTTTATAACTAATACTGTCATGCAATGAAATGCATGCAGACAAGAAAGACATGGGAATTGTAATTAAATAATAAAAGAGGTTAAAAATTTACAATGCCAATAGCTTTACGCTGTTGAGCGCACATGTTTGTTCGTGAATATTCGTCAAATTTAATGGTTAGTTTACTTCATTCCAAGTGTGTTAAACTAAAACAACACAATTTCGATTCATCAAAGATGTGTTTTTTACAATCAATAATCATTTTTAATCCTTCTTTCGATCGATGTTCGATCGATTTTCGCTTATTTCGATCATCGGAACACCACTAATGTGTTGTAATCTTTTTCTAGTCATAACATCAGTATTTTAATCCAATGAACTTCCAACAATGGAAGCCATGTGTTTGTTTATGTCATTGTTTCCTTGTTTTCCTTTTTTTCCCCACACAGCAATATTCCTGTTATGTGATATCAGTCGGTAAATAATTCAGTCTTTTTTTTAGCCAACAAGTATTTGGTTACCATGGTAACTCAACAAATATGGTGCTTGATGTGTTTACTAAAGTTGATTTATTGGTAGTAGGTAGCAGCTGTAACCAATATTGCACCATTATCATGACAGGGCACACCAGCTATGGGCTTAACACATTGTACACAGGTTACCAGAGTATTGTGTGTCGCCACTCAATGATTCAACAACTACAGTCAGTTTGATTTCATTTGAGACGACCCGTGAAGATCTGGGGTAGAATAGATCTTCAGCAACCCATGCTTGCAACAAAAGGCGACTATGCTTGTCATAAGAGGCGACTAATGGGATCGGGTGGTCAGGCTCGCTGACTTGGTTGACACATGTCATTGGTTCCCAATTGGGCAGATCGATGCTCATGCTGTTGATCACTGGATTGTCTGGTCCAGACTCAATTATTTACAGATTGCCGCCATATAGCTGGAATATTGCTGAGTGCGGCGTAAAACTAAACTAAACTCACTCACTCACTCATTTGAGACCGATGAATTGCTCACTAGCACAAAATATAATAATTGCAACAAAACCAAATTTCGCACAGTCACAAAAAAATTAACAGACCAACTCTGATGATTTGTCTCATAAGTTTGGGCACCCTAATAAAAATTTGTTTAACAAACAATAATTATTTTATTGTCACATTTTGCTATTTTTACAAGGGGTCCACTTGCTGGTAGGATGCGACTGTGCAAAATTTGGTTTTGTTGGAATTGTTAGCTTTTGTGTCAGTGAGCAATCCATCGGTCTCAAATGAAATCAAATGGACTGTAGGCTACCACAGTGCCTTGTAAATAATGAGTAAGTGAGTTTAGTTTTATGCCACACTCAGCAATATTCCAACTATATGGCGGCAGTCTGTAAATAATCGAGCCTGGACCAGACAATCCCAGGACCAACACCATGGGATTCGATCTACGCAATTGGAATTCGATGACATGTGTCAACCAAGTCAGCGAGGCATGACCACCCGATCCCGTTAGTTGCCTCTTACGACAAGCATGGGTTACCGAACATCAATTCTAACCCGGATCTTCACGGGTCGTAAATATTGAAATCTGGGTTCGAGCAGATGAGTGTTGAGGATTATGAGCAGTAACCCGATGATCAGAGTACTGTTACACTATGTTGCATTGCATATTGTGAACACCCAAATATACATCTCCAGGTTTTTCTACCCAAAGTCATATGTGATTGAATATAATGTATATACCAGGGACAGACACCATTTCCCAGATCCATCTAGTCCACCGCTCATTCAGGACAAGTAGAGTATTTGTAATAAACTAGTCCCTAAACATTTTGACATGTAGCAGACCATCAGACAAGTGACTCTGAGTATCCTGCACTAAACAAGGGACATAATTCAATCGTCTACATGTTGGTGTTAGGGAAAGGGTCAGGGCTAGGTATTGAGCTGTGGAAGCAGTTGACACAAATATTTAGCTTAAGTAATATATTCTGCATATTTTGGTTTCAAGGCAGCATCCTTCTATTGTGCTCGCATGGGCTTTGAGCCGTTCATGTACATGGGACTGGAGACAGGCAACAGAGACATCGCGGCACACGCAATCAAACAGAATAAGGTAAGGGGTCATTGGGGAGACTGGTAGAGTGAGTGAGGGGATAAACAGGATGAGAATTTTCCGCGATCCACGGAATTCGGGGAATTTCATTAGGCCAAGGGTAATTTTTGTGAATCGTCTAAATCCGTGATAATTTGGCCTCATTTGGCCCCCGGCTAGTTTTCAAAGTTTTTCTCAAAACTTCATTCTCATCCCTGGATACGGGTGGAGTGACTGAGGGGATACGGTTTCAACATTTGAATATTTGTGGTTGGTGGATGATTTAGAAAAGTATAGATAGGACGCATCTGTAATATATGGTTTACATTAGTCCGGCCTTGAAAATAGATTGTTTATTTCTTTTTCATTGTTTCTCTCCATCTTTCATTTCAGATCATATTTGTATTCCAGTCCATGTTGGAACCTAACAAGCCGAAAGGTAATCTTGGGAGTTGCTCCAATACCAGGGGTGGTCAACAGGCCACTGGTCCCTGAATGGGCCCTTTCAATCGGCGGAGAATATTAGTCTGAATCAATGGGACATAACTTATCATATTTCCAATATCTAAACAGTTTGTGATTATTTTGGCTTTGTACCGTGGTATAGTTAAGATGAACCTAGTGTATTTTTGACAGAGGTAATTTATTTCTTTTGATACCTGTAAATTAAAACAGATCTAACTGCCTGGCTATCACAATTTTAAGCGGCTGATTACATGTTACAGGTTGTGGTCCCTGACTGATTACATGTTACAGGTTGTAGTCCCTGACTGATTACATGTTACAGGTTGTAGTCCCTGACTGATTACATGTTACAGGTTGTAGTCCCTGACTGATTACATGTTACAGGTTGTAGTCCCTGATTACATGACTGACTGATTACATTACATGTTACATGGTCACAGGTTGTTGTAATCCCTGACTGATTACATGTTACAGGTTGTAGTCCCTGACTGATTACATGTTTGTACAGGTTTGTAGTCCCTGACTCCCTGACTGATTACATGTTACAGGTTGTAGTCCCTGACTGATTACATGATTACATTACATGTTACAGGTTGTAGTCCCTGACTGATTACATGTCACAGGTTGTACACTGGTTACAGGTTGTAGTCCCTGACTGATTACATGTTACAGGTTGTAGTCCCTGACTGATTACATGTTACAGGTTGTAGACTCCCAGGTTGTAGACCCTGACTGATTACATGTTGCAGGTTGTAGTCCCTGACTGATTACATGTTACAGGTTGTATGACTGATTACATGTTACAGGTTGTAGTCCCTGACTGATTACATGTTGCAGGTTGTAGTCCCTGACTGATTACATGTTACAGGTTGTAATCCCTGACTGATTACATGTTACAGGTTGTAGTCCCTGACTGATTACATGTTACAGGTTGTCGTGATTGCTTGTGTGTGTTTTAGAGTTTGGTGACCATTTAGTGAAACATGGAGACGGTGTCAAGGATGTTGCTTTTGAAGTGGAAGATCTTGATGCCATCTTTAAGGTGGGTTATGGAAATGAACCTTCTTCTATGGTCTGGGGCGGTGGGGTAGCCTAGTGGTTAAGGCGTTAGCCCATCATGCCGAAGATCCGGGTTCGATTCCCCACATGGGTACAATGTGTGAAGCCAATTTCTGTACTTATAATCGAGTTTATACTTGATTTATAGAGAAAAAACACAACAAATTCACTATGCTTAATTAAGCTTTAATAAAAACCTTTAATCATGACAAAATAAAAATGTCAATAATGTTTGTCACCAATGGAACAAGGAAAAGAATAATTTAACCTCAATTATTGCTAGTTTGAACTAGTTTCTCCACTCTCAAGAATGCCCTAAGATTTTAGACAACAACTTGACCTGGTCAGGACATATCAGAGATCACTGGTCATTGAATTGAATACGTAAATATTTAAAACATTCCGATTCAAAGCATTGCGAAACACTTGAACCACAATTGAGAACACAACTTCAAATTGAACTTAACAATCCATTTAAATGTAATTTTCACCACGATCATTCCCACCACTGTTACCACAATTGCCCCAATCATCAACATCTTCATCACCATCATCACCACACCTTTACATTCGCCATTTTACAACAAACGCATACCTTCCGGTGTGAAAAACGGAAATATCCGAATATTTCCGAGTGTTACGAAGTTTTCCGAATGCATGTCAAAATACCAGAGTGGCCCCCTGTCTATTACGTAACAACCAACTTCAGGGGCCACTACGGGACAACTCGTTAAGGTGTGAACGTGGGGGCCAGTGTGGGACAACTTGTTAGTTGTCAAAACAAAGAGTTGATCTACTACTGTGAGTAGAAGACAGTAGTAATAATCTGCTACTGTGAGTAGAAGAGCCATGGCTCTGAAGGGATAGATTGTTCCTGGTAGACAAAATGGACTTGATATTTTGATGGAGGGCTTCAGGTATAACAAGAAGAAGGAAAGCAAGAATGGCACAGTAGCGTGGCGTTGTCGTCAGACAAGTTGTCAGGCAGCTATCACTACTGATGTTGATGGTTGTCTTCATAGAAGAGAGAAGGGCCACACCCATCAGTCAGATACAGGAATGACTGCTGCCCATGTCATCACAACTTCTATGAAGAAAAGAGCCTGAGAGGAGCCACCATCCCACAGATATCTACAGACAATGTTCGGCGCTGGTTTCGGATGTTTATTGGACTTGCCTTCTTGCCAGTATCACAAGTCTCAGCAGGATATGACCTGGTCGTTTCATTTACTGCTGATCTCCCTCAGTGCTACAAGTACTTTAGAGACACATGGATTTGGACATTATCCCATCTCTGTTTGGTGCCACTTCCGTCATGAGATTCCCAGAACAAACAACACCCACTGCGAGGGATACAACAACCGACTTTCTAAACGGGCATTGAAACCACAACTGAACATTTATGAATTGATCCTAATCTACTGTAAAGAAAAACAGTAGTCAAACCTCTTGGTAGAAGACATAGTAATAATCTCCAACTCGTGGGTGAAGGTGGACATGAGTAACCAGCTAAACGCCGAGGTGTTGCAGGGAGTGAAGACAATCGTAATAATTTACTGCTTGAAAGACTTGAAATGTATGATGTGAGAAGAGGGACATGGCTACTGTATTTGTTAATCTGCTTGTGGGTCATTAGTAATAATCTCAACTGAACATGGTAATTCTGACGTGGTGATATGAATAATCTGCTTATATTGACTTGTAATGCTACCCGGAGTAGAAGACTCAAAGCTACTGAGGATGTAATAATGATACTGTGAATGTAATAATCTGCCAACTGTCCTTTACTGTGAGTAGGGGCAGTAGAATAATGCTAAATAGTAGCATAAAACACTTTTGGTAGAAGACAGTGTTGGTTTTGGGTTTGACAGTAGTAATTCTCTACTGTGGAAAGCAGTGACGCTAACCTATACTGTGAGTAGAGACAGTAGTAATAATCCAGATATGACCTGGTCGTTTCATTTACTGCTGATCTCCCTCAGTGCTACAAGTACTTTAGAGACACATGGATCTCAGGACATTATCCCATCTCTGTTTGGTGCCACTTCCATCATGAGATTCCCAGAACAAACAACAGCTGCGAGGGATACAACGGCCGACTTTCTAAACAGGCATTGAAACCACAACTGAACATTTATGAATTGATCCTAATCTTTAAAGAAAAACACTCAAACCTCTTGGTATATCTTCTCCAACATGAAGGTGGACATGAACCAGCTAAACGTCGAGGTGTTGCAGGGGTGAACAATCGGACTTGCCAGCTTGGACTTGAATGTATGATGTGCAAGAGGGACATGGCTTCCTATTTGTTAGCTTGTGGGTCATTGCTCAACTGAACATGTGTTTTTGACGTGTGATATGACTTTTATATTGACTTGTTGCTCCCCTCTCAAAGTGAGGATGTATTGATATGTAATGTAAAGCCATGAATAATGTAAATGTAGCATAAAACACTTTTTGGTTTGTTGGTTTTGGGTTTGAGCTCTTTCAAAGCATCACGCCTCCCTAATTAGTCCAACACAGTTGGTAATTAAGCTGATTGGATTAAGAGAGGCCAGAGTGGGAACACATAAGTGTTCAGGGGCCGCTCTGGGAAGGGTCGTTAACAAGGCGTGAAACCTCAGGGGCCACTGTGGGAAGGGGCACTCCGGGAATAAATCGTTTATCAACATTGCACATGAATGTACAAGAAGTCATTAATAATTGTCATTCAGGTTGTCAGCCCTGACCTATATATGATATCACCAAGGTATACTTTGGCACCAACTGCTAGCCAAGGATAGAAAAAATAACTGAGTCAACATTATTCTGAAAAATATTAATCAGTACAATATATAATAGATGCAATATGCATAACCGATATTCTGCATTCCTTGTCAAGAAAAAATATCCACATACAGTGAAATAATCCAAGCAGTTTCAAACCAATCTGAGGTGGCAGACATGCTCATTCTGTTATCTTTATCATCAAGTTATTCTATATAGTCCTATGTTGGCTGGTTGGTTTGTTGTTTAACATGGCACTCAGCAATATTCCAGCTATATGACGGTGGTCTGCAAATAATCGAGTCTGGACCAGACAATATAGTGATCAACAGCATGAGCATCGATCTACGCAACTTGGGATGTGATGACCTGTGTCAACCAAACCAGCGCCTGACCACCTGGGGGGCTCGGCAGCTTTACTCCTGAATCTCTAGGGTTTGGGACCGGTGTTCGAAATAGCCACTGGCCCACTAGACTGTGGCTAGTAAAAATCCAGTCAGGCCAGTAAATCTCCACAGTCACTGACCAGAATTTTCATGGGGCCTGCCCTACAGGTGTTATAACACACTGTGCCTCAGGTTGCTCAGTGAATAGGTACCTGGTAGGATGTAGCTTTAATGTGACTCAACCTTCAAACACCTCACAGGCAGCTTGGGGAGTGTACTTCCCAGGGAGCTGAGAATGAACAAATTCTGATTCTTTGACGAGATTGCATGTGAAATGTTATAGATATGCACATTATTGTAACTATTGCAATATGAAGCTAATGTTTCATGTAAACCTGTCCGTGTGGGATAGGTCCTTTCTATGAAAGCTTTGCATTTTGAAAAGGGGGTCGGGTCATCTTCTTTAGTAAGGATGTCATCATACCATCTGGTATGGTGTTAATGCTATCAACCACTTGGTTGACCTTTGAGGCTGTTGTAAACTTGTACACCTAGCTGTAGTACTCAGAGGTTATAGTGTAATACAGCTGTAATATTGATTATATTGCTGTATTATGTCATTAACTTGCTGTTATGTTACAGTGACATATTACACAACTCAGCTGATCTCGGACAGTCATGATTCAGACATATGTATTTTGAGCTATCAGTTAGGGGATCGGTTGTTCACAATGGCTGCTTCATATGAACAGTACGTGGAATTATCGTTCTACCGATTGACAGCTGTTGTATATATCTAGATCGTGTAACTGTTGACAGTGGAGACAGGAGGGCTGATCTTGTTCTTTTCCTTGTAAACAATTATATTTTTCCCCCAGAGAGCTGTGCAGCGTGGTGCCATGGTGGTGAAAGAACCCTGGGAGGAGAGTGATGAGAATGGAACTCTGAGAATGGCACTGATCCAGACGTATGGGGACACGACTCATACACTGATCGACAGGTCCGACTACAAGGGCCCCTTCCTCCCTGGCTACAGGCCTGTCTCTAACGGCGATCCACTCACCTCGCTCCTGTAAGTAAACAATCAAGCTAGCTCAAGTCATATCTGCTTCTGAATTTCTGATACAATACCACTCAGTGAGATAGGACCCATGCGTAGAAGATTACTTCAGGTGAACTTTAAGATCAGACAATCAGCATCAAGGCTTCTAAAGTCACTGTATGAATTTGCACCACATTCACATCATTACCCCTGATTTCTGTATCTCAAAACTGATGTTAATTGACCTGTACCAAATATGCACGATAAAGACTGTGACATTTTATTGGTTTTGATATTTGATATACCATGTTATTTTATGAGGGTGTACTACCACAAGGGCATACCACCGAAAGCATATTGGTGTATTTTGTTGGTTTCTTTTGTCAAAAATAAAAAGTTAAAATAAGGCAAAAAATTCAGCCAAATTGCTTTAGACATGTGTCACCCTTCATTTAGACTGACCAGGGTGCCGTTGTACAAAGCGATCTTAGCGCTAAGGTGACCGTAACTCCCATACTTTAACATAGACTTAAGGTAGCCTTAGCTCTAAGGTTGTTTTGTACAACGGCACCCAGTTAGATTTGGTTGTGGATTCACTGTACAAGACCTCCTTTGGATGAGTTACCAGATAACAATCATGTCTCATGTCATCTGTTTCAGTCCTAAAATTGACCTGCAGATTATTGATCATATCGTGGGGAACCAACCGGACAGCACCATGACCAATGTGGCTGAATGGTAGGTCAGATGGGTTTGTTTGTCGATTAACGTCACACACAGCAATATTCAGCTACATGGGAGTGATCTGCAAATACTCGAGTCTGGACCAGATAATCCAGTGATCTATGTAATTCTTTTAAAACGCAATGAAATGCATCTAATACATCAGTATGACAGTTAAGATCAAGGAAACAACACAGTGCGGAATGGAATCGTATGCGTTTCTGTATTTTGATTTGGCTAGGATATGTTTCTGTATAGAGAAATGACAAACATAGGTGGGGGCCAGTCAGAGTAGTAGCTTGTAGGACCTCTTTATGACGGTGAAAATATGTAAGTACAGAAACGTACGATTCCATTCCGCACTGTGTTGTTTCCTTGATCTTAAATGTCATACTGATGTATTAGATGCATTTCATTGCGTTTTAAAAGAAACAACCATAGACAGTAACGGATATTTCACTGTGCACAGTACCACTCGCATTCAGCCGAACGTGAACAACTACATACGGTTTCTGTTTTGGGTTATGGAATGTTGACTCATCCGCCATGCAGGGCACCAATTATATTCCTGTATTTTGACTTTGTGTAAGGTACATTTCTGTATACAGAAACTTACCTGGGGTAATCTTTATTTGTTATACAGCAGGATATGTGTTACATTCACACACACTTAAAGGGCTGTTCATGTAATAAAGTTTCAGCATTTGATGCTTAAGAAAGTACAATCAAACATATTCAGTATACCTTGATCTAGGTTTCCCTTGGAAAGTTGTGTTTCTGCATCAATGCTTTCACAGGCAATTCAATGTAAGTTATACCAGAATCACTGGGAAAAAACCCTCTTAAGTATGCTTTCTAAATTTTATCTTCTCTTTCTTAACAAAGCTAAGATATCATTCATAGCTGTTAATAAATGGTGTTATTTGTCAAACAACTAAAACATGTTTCAAGTAGTTAAAGACAAGTCTTTTACAGTTCACAGAGTTTGAAAAATGTTCACACTCTTTCACTGATACACCAACTCCTTTGTTCATGTAACAAAGATGGCAGACACAAACAAATTCCTATAAGGTTCAGGGTTTTTTAAATTTAGAAGTATTTCAAAGAGACTCCCTTCCTATTCCTAATGCAATATTCCTTACAACTTTAAGTAGTATTTAAGTAGTATCGGGATATATCGTCTCTTGTGGCGATACATCGATGTATCATGGACCCTCGCGATATAAATACTGTGTATTACTGTGTAGGTATGAGAAGAATCTGATGTTCCACCGCTTCTGGTCCGTGGACGACTCCCAGATCCACACCAACTACTCCTCCCTCCGCTCCATCGTTGTCACCAACTACGAGGAGACCATCAAGATGCCCATCAATGAGCCCGCCCCTGGGAAGAGGAAGAGTCAGATTCAGGTACCTACTCCACACACTGTGCTTAACACACATCTATATTGGACAGAAAAAATACTTTGAAACAAAAACATGATTGCAAAGTTTATTTTGTTATAGTTTGTGACATAATTCATATCCTTTATGAAGTTGATAGATATGATGGAGGTTGAATTTTTATTTATCAAAGAATACATGTTTTAAACCAGACAAAATCCAGTGGCACCACATAGAGAGTAGGAATAGTCCAGGGGAGACAACTGCGGATTCAGATATGACTATGATGTTACAGTGGCATTAAGCCCAATTCAAACTTTACATATAAACAAGCTAATTATTGTACAGGAATATGTCGACTACTACGGTGGAGCGGGGGTCCAGCACATCGCCATGAAATCCACAGACATCATCCAGACGGTCAGTACTGCTGTTACCGTAGATGCTCATGGATTTATCTACATCATCTAACAGGCTGATATCGAAGTCTGCAGTGATTGTCAGTGAAAAATATATAACATGGGGTTATAGATGTGCTCAGTCACATTAATATGGTTCAAACTAGTAGTAGAGCATGATGGAGCTTAAATGTCTTTCCCTGGTAACAGCAGCCAGCCCTGTGCTCCAGTTGACAGAGCCTCCACTGGACAGGGGAAGTCACAGTTTTGATCAAACCAAATGATGTTAATATAAGGGTAATGCTATTTTTGAGGGCATTATCATTTGCAGAAGCCTTAGGTCTTCCATTAACTGCCCGACGAAGGAGAGCAGTTGAAAAAGACCGAGGGCTTCTGCCAATGATAATCCCCTCAAAAATAGGAATTTTGTGTTGAATAGAAAAAGGAAACAATGAAGGAACTTGACTGTAACTTCTGACGGGGTTGATTGACCGAATGCAATTATGCCATCAAACAATTCAAGTGACGTCACAACAGAATGTGATGATATTCGACCTTGGCCTTTGCCAAGACCATAGCCTGCAACATGTCAAACTATGTCAGACACAACATCAGTTTTCAGTGTTCTTTGTCCAACAACAACTTTTATAGTGCAATTGTTAAGGTTAGCACCAGCATGAAAGCCAATATTACCGCTTTTTAAAGCGGGAATTCGGGTTGCTTTGACTTGTTTGCCCCAGAATATCTGCCAGTCCAAAGCCAATGTCGAATGAACCGTAAGCCCACGCACCCACTATGACGTCACTTGACAAAAGAACTGATAGTGGCCCGTCATTAAGGTTGAGCGGTCCAATATCATTTGCAGTGGCCCGCAAATTTCTGATAATAGGAGGGCTGTTTCATGATAATTCCATGTATTTTAGCTATAAAATATGGTACTTTTTGTTAACCTGCCTCGAACTTGGCATAAAACTAAGACTGGTCAGTGCATGGCCCTAATACTGTGTCTGAGTGGAGTTTATAGGTTAATATCTATCATATAGTATTAGGATTCATGGAACAAAGTGTTTTATTTATTTTGTTTAATCATTTATCCAAATTAATTATTTGATTTATATGATTCTCGTTTGTTGTCAGTATGCAGCTGATTAGTTTCAATACTGAATAAGATTCTTGAAAACTGTAAATCAAAAATTTCCTGAAAATCACATGCTGCATGGTGTGATAATGGTAGGCTAGTGCTAGTGGAATAAAAGTAGGTCTTTATGAGTGTACTAATCTTGAACTTCTTAAACGACACCTCTTAAGTTAGGAGACTGTGTTGAATCTAAATATTTCACAGTTTCTCCACTAATGAGTATCATCTGGTTTCATTAATTACATAATGTTTTTCCTGTTGAATATTCAGAAAATTCATGATTGAATTCTGGGGTGAAACACATTGTTGATAAGATGATTCATTTTGGATTTGTGGATTGCAATGGCGTGTTGAGGCTGAAATTATAAACCCCTGCCATATTTGCCTATATTATTACAGCTATCTTCCAATCACATAGAAGGGCAGTAGAGTAGCCTTATACTTACAGAGTTTGTTTATCACGCTGTAGGTCCGAGTTTGAATCTCCTCATGGGTTCAGTGTGTGCAGCCCATATCTGGTGTCCCCCGCAGTAATATTGCTGGAATATTGTTAAAAGCTTTGTAAAACCCAGTGCACTCACTCATTCTAATCTCATAGTAACACTGTGAGTTGAGAGATCTTGTATTTGATTTATCACACCTTGCTTTTACAGTGCAGTTGTGAAAACAGTCTTTTTAATTTGCATTTAATGATGACTTTAGACGGCTTAAAGCTCAAAATTGACATGAATAAATCTGCCAACACAGATATCATGTTTAGTGTTGTAACTCAGTGATCCACCAGATGAAGTGGTGTCCAGTCTCACATGTCCTGAGTTGCATGTCCTGAGTTGCGTGTCATGAGTTGCATGTCCTGAGTTGCGTGTCCTGAGTTGCGTGTCCTGAGTTGCGTGTCCTGAGTTGCATGTCCTGAGTTGCGTGTCCTGAGTTACGTGTCATGAGTTACGTCATAAGTCATAAGTGAGTGACTGTGACTGAGTTTGGTTTTACACCACTTTTAACAATATTCCAGCAACATCACAGCGGGGGACACCAGAACTGGGCTTCACACATTGTACCCATGTGGGGAATAGAACCTGGGCCTTTGGCATAACGAGCGAACGCTTTAACCACTAGGCTACCCCACCGCCCCTACGTGTCATGAGTTACGTGTCATGAGTTACATGTCATGTTACATGTGTAATACTGCTGCTACTGAATTGTGTCACTGTAACCCGTGTCATGGTGATCTGTTTCAGTCTGATATTCCTTGCATTTCGCTGGTTCATAGCTTAGTTAAAACACTCCCCCCCATGGTTTTACATTTTCAACTAAAATTTGTGTTACATGATAACATCAAACAATTTAATTAACTACTTCAAAGCTGTGTAATACTGGGAATATCATACAAACCATAATCCCAAGCTGACTCAGTTTGGCAACATCTGTGTCAAAAACCTCTTTATCCAGAAACTGTTTCCAGTGAAGTTGGATGTGCAAATAAACTGACAATAGATGTGACCAAATTGGAAATAATAACTTCTCAGTTCAAGTAATTATAGTTGTGTAAATTATGTTTGCTGACAGGAAGACAAAAATAGGAGGAAGTACTTTCACATTATAGCAACATATTTACAGCATTACATAACTGGGGCGGTGGGGTAGCCTAGTGGTTAAAGCCTTCACTTGTGTCGCCGAAAACCCGGGTTTGATTCCCCACATGGGCACAATGTATTAAGCCCATTTCTTGTGTTCCCTGCAGTGATATTTCTGGAATGTTGCTACAAGCAGAGTAAAACTAACCTTGCTCACTATTACATAAATTGTATTAAAATTCCTTTTAGAAATTCCATTTTTGAACTTTACAAAGATCTATTTCCAGTTTGCCGACACTAATCGGTAGTTTGGAATGGTAGATAAATGTGTGTATGTCACACTGTTTTATTCAGAATCCCTGTGTGTTTCAGATCAGCAACCTGCGAGCCCGTGGGATGCAGTTCATCCAGGTACCCGACACCTACTACACCAACCTCCGCAAACAGCTGGCCAACTCTAAAGTGAAGATCATTGAAGATCTTGACAAAGTACGTCACCTTTGTTGTGTTCTGGATGTTTATTCGCAAACAGATAAATTGCAATATATTCTAAGCTTTTAGTTAAATCAAGGAATTCTGTCTGTCTGATGGAAACTAGAAAACTGTTGGTTGTTGTGTTGCCAAATTTGGGGACCACCTTCTTTTTCCAAGGGAGAAATTTGGTTATGGTATTTTATTTTTTTAACGAAATACAGAAATTTAAAAATTTGAACTTTTGACGTTTGTTCAACCAATAACTTGAAAACTATTGTTTGGATTATTTTTGAATATCTGGACCACTTTGTTCAACCAATAGGTAACATGAAAAGTATTGGTCAAAACGTTTTCAGATGTGGAAAACAGCTTCTCTGTCTGAACGAGTGCTTATTCTCTGTTGGAGAGAGATTTTGGATCCGATTTTCTGATTTTTGAAAGAGTTGCGTCCACTTTACGTATCCAGTGGTACAGGAGTGGAGCTGAATTATTTGACAACGCTGACATCTGATTGGCTCAAGGACCCACATATCCTGTATTTTAAATGGACAGTCGGAGCGATGGGGTAGCCTAGTGGTTAAATCGTTCACTCGTCATGCTGAAGGGTTGGGTTCGATTCCCCAAATGGGTACAATGTATGAAGCCCATTTCTGGTATTGCTAAAAGCAGCATAAAACTATACTCACTCACTCACTTGAATGGGCAGTCAAAAGTCAGGGTTCACCTGATGCTACCTTACAAGGAGGTGTTGTCCTCTCCATGCAGACTGAGGCTTGTCTAGCCTGGACCACTGAGGTGCAGCTGACTGTGATGTGATGCAGCGTGAATCAGCAACTGTTTGTGTTGAAATATTTCAAGAATATATGACATGTTGGTTTCTGCTTCAGCTCCAGAGTCTGAACATCCTCATAGACTACGATGACAATGGCTACCTGCTCCAGATCTTCACCAAGCTCATGCAAGACAGGCCCACTTTGTTTCTGGAAGTTATCCAGAGACACAATCATCAGGTGTGTATAGTTGTACCTGGTAGTGTGGTTTTATATCCATAGTCACAAGGTTGGTATAGGGGTACCTGGTAGTGTGTTTTTTATATCCATAGTCACAAGGTTGGTATAGGGGTACCTGGTAGTGTGTTTTTTATATCCATAGTCACAAGGTTGGTATAGGGGTACCTGGTAGTGTGTGTTTTTATATCCATAGTCACAAGGTTGGTATAGGGGTACCTGGTAGTGTGTGTTTGTTTTTTATATCCATAGTCACAAGGTTGGTATAGGGGTACCTGGTAGTGTGTGGTTTTTATATCCATAGTCACAAGGTTGGTACCCTGGTAGTGTGTTTTTATATCCATAGTCACAAGGTTGGTATAGGGGTACCTGGTAGTGTGTGTTTTTATATCCATAGTCACAAGGTTGGTATAGGGGTACCTGGTAGTGTGTTTTTATATCCATAGTCACAAGGTTGGTATAGGGGTACCTGGTAGTGTGGTTTTTATATCCATAGTCACAAGGTTGGTATAGGGGTACCTGGTAGTGTGTTTTTATATCCATAGTCACAAGGTTGGTATAGGGTACCTGGTAGTGTGTGTTTTATATCCATAGTCACAAGGGGGGTTGTGTGTTTTTATATCCATAGTCACAAGGTTGTTATATACCTGGTAGTGTGTTTTTATATCCATAGTCACAAGGTTGGTATAGGGTACCTGGTGTGTGTTTTTTATATCCATAGTCACAAGGTTGGTATAGGGGTACCTGGTAGTGTGTTTTATATCCATAGTCACAAGGTTGGTATAGGGGGTACCTGGTATAGTAGTGTGTGTTTTTATATCCATAGTCACAAGGTTGGTATAGGGGTACCTGGTAGTGTGGTTTTTATATCCATAGTCACAAGGTTGGTATAGGGGTACCTGGTAGTGTGTTTTTTTATATCCATAGTCACAAGGTTGGTATAGGGGTACCTGGTAGTGTGTGTTTTTATATCCATAGTCACAAGGTTGGTATAGGGGTACCTGGTAGTGTGGTTTTTATATCCATAGTCACAAGGTTGGTATAGGGGTACCTGGTAGTGTGGTTTTTATATCCATAGTCACAAGGTTGGTATAGGGGTACCTGGTAGTGTGTTTTTTATATCCATAGTCACAAGGTTGGTATAGGGGTACCTGGTAGTGTGTTTTTTATATCCATAGTCACAAGGTTGGTATAGGGTACCTGGTAGTGTTTGGTTTTTTTATATCCATAGTCACAAGGTTGGTATAGGGGTACCTGGTAGTGTGTTTTTTATATCCATAGTCACAAGGTTGGTATAGGGGTACCTGGTAGTGTGTTTTTATATCCATAGTCACAAGGTTGGTATAGGGGTACCTGGTAGTGTGTTTTTTTATATCCATAGTCACAAGGTTGGTATAGGGTACCTGGTAGTGTGGTTTTTATATCCATAGTCACAAGGTTGGTATAGGGGTACCTGGTAGTGTGTTTTATATCCATAGTCACAAGGTTGGTATAGGGGTACCTGGTAGTGTGTGTTTTTATATCCATAGTCACAAGGTTGGTATAGGGGTACCTGGTAGTGTGTTTTTTATATCCATAGTCGATATCCTGACGTGGAATCAATGTTGAAGTCTGGACATATTATTAACGCTTTTGGAAATGGGTTGTTCCGTGGTTGTGTCTGGGAGGTAATACGCTCCTGTAAATAGACTCGCAAGACTTCATCTTTAAACTACAATAAAGTAGCACCAAACTCCCTGCATCCAGCTAAAATAATTCCCAAAAGCTACCTGCAATACACGGTGTTCAAACAGAAAATTGCAGTAAAATATTTACCTGATAAAATACTTGGTTCAAATTCCACATTCTGATATAATGTTCATTTAAGTTTTATGTCCAGTTGACGTATAATTCCAGTAAGAAGAAAAGAGTATTCTCAAATTAAGAAAAACTATTTACTGTTGTATTGTTACCTTGAAAAAGGTGAAATTGTCCCGTAGAAGACATTTTGTCTGAATTTTAGCTCTTAGACAGACCCTGAATAAACACAATGCACTTACTTTCACCATGAAAGGGATCCAAGATGACCAGGAACTATACCTGAAGACAGCACATAAAACAAGTCACTTTTCATGAAATCTTTATGAACACACACGCACACAGAAAACGGGTTTAATGCATAATGTAAAACATCACACATGACATAGTCTGTAGGTGATCTCTGTTGTGCTAATAACACAATATCATCTGCATATAGCATCAAAGTGACATTTACGCCACCAATTTCAATACCACAGTTCAGATTTTTTTCAACACAGTTACAACTCCAAAACACAATTATCAGCTCCTCTTCGTTTTGCCACCTCCCTGCCTGGCGTCAGGTGGATACTTCAGAAAGCGTTCCTAACTCTTTCTTGAAATTTGTTTCTGATGCATTCCCATCTCATCTCCCTTGAGATAGGACACATTCTGAAATTTTATATCTAAATACATGAATAAGTTATATGGAAGATATATTGTCTTAAATGATTCAAGTATTTGTTTAATCAATCACTTGAAAGGTTCATTTCACTGCTGTAACTTGGCATGTGAACATATGAACAGCATCAATACAAAATATATTTTCAACCGAAGGAATGGAAGTTGTCTTAAACATTTTCAAAGAAAATCCTCAATTGCAAGTTGATTATTTAATTAGACTATGAATTACCGATAGGATGAATTAGACGATGCTTTACTGTCATATATTATTTGCTATGGTCATGATGAAAATGCTGCACTTGGTAATTAACTTACCAGAGATGATTGAATACAACCTTTGTATTCTTAAAAGAAAATCCTGCTGCTTGCCCATCAACATTCATTCTTGACATCAAATTGTTTGACATTGTCCTGCAAAACAATGGAAGATTTGTTGTCATTCTGTCAGATTTAGTTTTCTTTAGAGATTCTCGAAATATTATTATTTCAAATTAATAGGAGTTTAACTGATGTAGCAATTTTGCTAACAGGAGTCATAAATTGTAACAAAAAGCCATTTTACATTAAATGATAAGAAACAAAATGGGTGGTGGTTCACAGGTCAAAGAACAAGTCTATTGTGGGAGGTCTCCAACACCATTTTGTTCCCAAACACAAGGAAGTATGGATCATGGAGTTCTGAAAACAATAATGAGCTCTCATAAGTATGCAATATATTCTATTATCTACTCTCTCTCTCTCTTTGTCATTTGTACACTCATAAAGAGCTCAGATAAATAACTTTTTATAATTCATAAATGTTTACACTTAATCTCTTATAGAACGCTTTAGAAAATCTCTCATATAATGAATTATGTGTAAAGGTATTATCTCATGACGGCCATAACTATGCTTCTCTGAATCATGAACAATAAAATAATGAGATTAAACTCTACATTGCTGTGAAATAATTGATCATACCCTGAATAATAAGACATTGAATAACATATCTTACAACTCAATCTACACTCAAAAGACTTAAATGTACTCAAATAAACAAACATCAGCTGGTATAATTTAAATTCTTGGAAACAGTGCATCCTCTGACTCTCATTCCAAGAAATGGAAGTCCTACTTCTATTTGACCAAAGGTGACAGGTGGCAAAACATATTGAAAATGTAAGGTCATACACTAGAAAAATAACTCTGATTTAAAACACTACAAATATACACCTTCTCTCTAATATACCTGAGCAGATTATCTTAACAAGGAACATGTACATAAAATGCTGATATCTAACAACACCTGTACTTTAAATAATGGACTCTTCAAAATCTCAGTATGTTTCACCTGCACACATATTAGATTGCAAATAATGAAAAACCTACCTTTGGACAATAATAAAACATCATATTCAAATTCCCACAGCTGACCAAATACCTGAAGAGTGTGTTTCCCAGCAATAAACATCTCTATATATCTATAAATGTATGACTTCTCTCTCCCTCACAAGGCTATCTTTGCATCCAGCTGTTTTACTGGCGAAAAACAATGTAAGCCAAGCAAGGGAGTGCTCATTAAACTGAACATCTCCGAGAAATCATTGTCAAGTTTTTCTTTTAAATGATCAACCTTAATATATAAATGAAAAATAAAGACCAACTATTATCACCAAAAAGACCAAACATTATCACAAATATTCAAAACAGGTGGTAATGAAAGAGCATTATCATCTTTCTCTTAAACTTTGTGGTGGATATACTTGGAAACAAGTGAAATGTTAAAACGTGTTACCTTAGCCTTGCTCCTTTTATGTGATCCACAAAATTGCTGCCACCCAGTCTTCTAAGATGATTTCTGCAAATTCCATTAAAATAATCTTATTTCATGATTAAATGTTCCTTACATTAAAAATTACTTCTTTTGTATGTAAGATTTTAACCTTTACGAGACATGAATTATCACCATCCCTTCCAAACAAGTGTAAGAATGAAAGTCTGTGGGTGCAGTTTTGTTAATTGTCCCATCAAAGAATCATTAGTGAAGTTACACTTTTTGTAAATAAATAAAAGTTCAAATAAATTATATACAATTTCATCCTTCAAAGACTTTCACAAGACATTTTAAAGTGAAAATTTTTAGCTTGCATTTCCTTACGCCATTCTCCACCACCCCTCCCAATAATATACATATGTTGACAGGGTTCAGGGCATGCTCAATGCATCATTTACTGATAGATCTATTCAAACCGAAACAAATGTTCATAATAATGGGATACAATATAAAATGTTGATTAATCCTATCCGATCGATTTTGTATAGCACCTTAGGGATCGCTCATAATGTATGGCTTTGGGGTGATGTTGATTTTTATGTACAATGTGAAATACAACCCCTAAAGTGTATGAGTATGTACAGAATAAGAGACGCCCACCCTGCATGTCATGTACAATATCTATGATGCCCTCTCCCTTCCCATAATTTCTAAACATAGTGCGTGTGTACAAAAATGCTGACCCTTAGCTCCCTGAACAAAATGGGTGACACCCCACCCCACCTCCAACCCTTACAATCATCACCCCACCACATAGAGCCATATATTTAATTATGAACGGTTCCTTATATTGATGTACTTCATTGATTATTTGAAAATGTATATTTGCAAAATTCAAATCAGGTGATGGGTACGAAAGGAAATCTTATTCGATTATATAATAAAATGCCAAATATATGCATGCAAATATATTGAAAAATAACAAAACAAGTTCATGGAAAACACGGGCTTCCACTCAATTTTGAGAAACATGTACTGTGACATACCCGGTAACCTTGTGAGATAAAACATGAGCCCTAATTGAGTTTCTTGCTACTGCTAGATTTAAACGGCATTCCTACGCTTTCATTATACATGAAGGACATACTTACCAAATAAACACCAGCATGCCGTGAAGATGGTGAAAATAGAACGATATTGAGTTGAACTTCTCGACAAAGTGAACTGACAACGATCAGCTGCCTTTTGCGCCACGCGATAATTGTGCGCATGTCCCGATATTGCCAAACGAGGCGATCGAAAAGGTCAGCATCTGGCTTGTGTTTGAAAGCAAATTGTCGGAATTATACAATTTTCACAGTTTTGTGGGAAAACAATTAGTTGACAATTTGTTGGTTCCTTACGCTGGAAACAACGCTGACAACTAAACGAATCTCGACTAACTTTCTTTTGGTCGCATGATAAACGCTGAATCAACGCTATGAAAGGTTGATCAACCAAACAACCAAAATTCAACGTTGGTAGTGTGTTTTTTGTTTTATATCCATAGTCATAAGGTGTGTATATGGGCACCTGGTAGGGTGGTCAAAACATCCAGACACAATCAGCTGGTGGCTTCTGGCCCGTACTCGTTAGTGCAGCAGAATATTACAGTTGACAAAAAGAAAGTGAATATTGCTTGGCTGAGTTTAGGCATACAGTGAAATTGCATCTTAGTGCTTTGCAGACCACTATTGTGTCATCTGTTACCATGACATCATTATCAAATCAAATCACAAAATAATCTGCTACTGAAGCTGGTTAGCTGTCCTATTTTCACTCAAGACACAGGGCCTAGATTTTCGAAGCTCTCTTAGAGCTAAGATAGTCGTAAGTTAATGTTAATGTATGGCACTTACGGACATCTTAACACTAGGAGAGCTCCGAAAATCTAGGTGCAGGTGATTACTGTTAACATACCAAATAAGTTTGAAAAATTTATTATGGGTGATAAACAGACGCCCTCTTGTCTTTTGTTATCACTGTAATCCCTGGAAAGAAATTAATTATTACTTCCCTCTTTTTCAGGGATTTGGAGCTGGAAACTTCAAGTCTTTGTTTGAAGCCATTGAGCAGGACCAGGCAGACCGAGGCAACCTTTGATTGGAAAAAGCCAATCCTTGGGTACTGCTGGAATTAGATGCTGCTTATAATATGTTCTATACAAATGTGATCTGCATTTTACCATGATCATCTAATGAATCTCACCAGTGCTGCTGTAAGCTCATTTTTTAATCAGATCTTATACAGAAATTACTAATTACTAAAGATACAAGACTATATGTGACGGCAAATTATTTAAGACATTAGTTGTTTGCTCTCTTGATATCGGGGTAAAGTGTGTGAATATGTATTTTTGCTACAATAGAACAGACATTTTTTCGCTTCCTGCCATGAGTTCAGAGTACAGAGTAGAGAATGGAATTTTTTAAGGATGTAGATCAGCTTGAGGAAGAAAGATAATTTAATAAGTGCCTTGTGAAGGCACTGTTTAAGTGACAGTTAAGTGTGTGAGGTTATTTTTTAAAACATGACCTAATGTGTTGTGCAGAGTTGTGTCCCTTCAGTTGCCTGGATCTACTGATCATGGTATGACTGATGGCAATCCTGTCAGCCTTATGTTTGTAAGTGATGGTCTACTACCAGCATCTCATGTGGCTCTCATCCCTCGTCCAGCCCACATGCAGGTATTAGCTGTGCATAGTGTTCAAGGGGCGTTGGGGTAGCCTAGTGGTTAAAGCGTTCACTTGTCACGCCAAGACCCAGGTTTGATTCCCCACATGGGTACAATGTGTGAAGCCCATTTCTGGTGTCCCCTGCCACAATATTGCTGGAATATTGCTAAAAGTGACGTAAAACAATACTCACTCATGCGTAGTGTTCAAAGTAATATTAAGCCCAACTCTCTCTGTTTGACAGCTATACCAGTCACGCTAGGACTATGAGGTTTTGTAATGATCCCAGTTTTTTAATCCTCCCTGGACAAAAGTTAAATTCACATTTTTGGCATAATGGTGGAATCTGACTACAGGGATCCTTTGTGTGATCTCATATTGGCATGCTAGGGATGTGATGAGGAAGACTTGATCAGCAGTGCTTGTACTACTTGTATCAGTAGGTATCAGGCTACTCAAATATTGACAGAGATATTCTACCCTGTGGGAAACTTACTGATTGCTTAGAGACTGATGATGTCAGACCCATATATATATTTGAATTGGGGTGTACACAGATTGAATTCTCAGCTCCTTTCTGAGTAAACAACTCAAGCTACTAAGACTCAAGAGCGTCAACACTCATGTTACTGTTTCATCCTACCGGGTACCCATTCACTGCTGGGTGAACAGTGGCATCTTTTGAACAAAGCCATTGCCTAAGGTGACACCACATTGTTTCAGTGTGGAGCAGAACCAAAGCCTTAGAAAGTCTCGGGTATCAAGCTGTCACCCTCTGCAATCAACATTGATTTAATCTACACAATTGTAATACCTGACTGTTCGGTCTCAATGGCAATCTGAATCCAGTACGTAGGATTCCGGATTCAGTTGAACTCTCTTAGTAAAACACCCACTGAAGAAAAAGTATTTTTACTTCTTTGATTCGATGAAACTACAGACAACAAAGCAACATAGTGTGTGGTACATCTAGTCTGTCTCACAGTCCCTGAACCATAGTATTTTCCCTACTGCCAAGCCCTCTCTGCAATGCTAAAGCCCTAAATAAAGCAAGTCTAGATTTCCTCAGGTTCTGAATCTCTGGTCTCCCTGGGGCTCCTTTTCAATTTAAATGGGCTTGTTTGTTACTTTCAAAATTATATATATTCAGAGACTAAGCATTAGTCTAGTGGTACATAGTACAGCTGATCTTTATGGAGAGTTATTGCCAGGGAACCAATTGTCTTTGATCATTAGTGGACAAGTATGGCTGCCATGGAAGCCATATTGAAAATACTACTTTGCTATTTTATTAGCCACATACATGTGTACTGTCCGTATTGGTCAGTTTGTGTTTATGATTTAAAACCAAAAAGCAATGATTCCTTGTGCATAAGACGTGGGAGGAAAACAGTTAACTGTAACATACAAGCAAGAAACTAAGCAAAAATTAGCAATATTAAAGTTTTATATAAGAAAGTGCCTTACATGATATATGCAAGAAACAAATGAACTCCTGTGTTATATTAGATAGACACATAGGCTTGCCTTGGATCTGGTCATCTGGTGGCTGGCATTGAGAGAAAGCTGATTGTTATTTGTTGAAGTATTTTAATAGTTTATTTTCTGGAGTTACCTGAAGTATTTTTCTACCTTGATGTTTGACTGGCTACTGGGCATCCTGTATTTAAGCCAGCTCTCTGATCCTCAATGTATTTTGATGCACTTCAGCAGGGTTGATTCTGCTTATACTTGAAAAACAGGTCTGAGTCAATGTTTTATAGGAAATGTCAGATTATTGTGGGGCAGTTACCCTCAAACTGAACTTCCTATCTGGCAGTGTCTGAAAAGGTACTAGGTGAATCTGGGCTGTTTACTACGAGTGTCCCATCTATTTGTTTAGCCCCTTTTTTCAGAGAATAGGAAAGAATTACAGTCAGGCCGCATTAATCCGAACAGTGCCGTTTTTCATACAAAATGTTCGGATAGTGAAACGTACGGTTTGTTGAAACAAGTCCAGTACACCACACTGCAGTGTCATGTTTCTGCCGATGGAATGTCCAAATTCTTGTCCAAATTCTTGACTGATAAGATCAAAACTGGCTATAGGATTTTTTTCTTTAAATTTACAAATTTCGCTTTTTTGGTGCGGCAGTAATTTCATAGCGCTTACGCTTAGGTGCGGGACTTTCTATTGTGATTGGCAGGTGTCAAATGCAGCTGATCTCACTTTGACTCGGTGTGTATTTATATTAAAAAAACCAAACACTATGACAGATTTTGATCAAACTAACACAAAGTGTGACCTGTTAATTATTAAAGTCACAAACTCATGACTTGTTCATCTCGCAATGTATTAATTGCCATTGAAGTTTACCGATAATGAGCCCCGCTATTGTTAGGCAATATGGCCGTCATATGTACAGCCGGATTAATGAAGTAAAAACAAGTACAATTAGCTAATCCATTACCGATAACTGATGTTCGGAGTCGCAGACTAAAACATCAGATTAATGAATCAACAATTGATGTGTTTATATAGTAAACAAGATTGGTTACAGCTTGAGTCTGTTCGGATGGCACGGGAATCGGATTATCGGGGACCGGACTAACGCGGCCTGACTGTATTTCTTTCACTGTTGACTGAAAATATTCTGCCTAACAAAAAGTCCCAGTCCACCCCGAGGATATCAAATGGTCCTTCCCTTACACATGAATAAAAATGTCACCTTAAATTTAACACTTTATTGAAAAATCAAATAGATCGCAAATTTATTTTCTAACATGATTGTCATATTGCAAATGAAAGTAATTTAATGTTTTATGAATGTAATGTCAGCAAATATCAAAATAACCATGAACAATTTGAAACTTGACAATCATTTTACAATTGATTAGATAGAAATGATGACAATCGGATATGTTTTAACGCACAATGTTTGATGTGTGGGGTTTTGTGATGGGTTTCATGAGTGTAATCACATATATAAGTATTAATGTATATTTGTAAGATTAGATGTACCAGTTTGATAAATTAATGAAAGAGGTGTGCACAATTTTCCATATTATATTTCATAGAGGAAGGTTGTTTACAATGATGTCAGCATTCCATTCCACCTTCATCAGCTAATAGACTCTTCCAGTTTCACACAAACACTGACACAGGTCTCTATAACCATCAGAGTTGTTGGAAGTGTAAATTGAAAATATGCACGGAAACGAGCAAAAGAAAAATCATTTTGTCTTCCCTGTAGGATCAAGTTACAGCCTTGTATCTGGTTTGGCTGTACCAACTTAATTTCCTAAAGTGTGCAGTGCATGAAGGTCTAAACATGAACAACAGAGGTACCAGGCAGTGTGCGAAATAGCTTCCAAGTTTTGCTAGCCAGTCGGGCTAGCTATGCCTGAAAGTTACTACCCCATAAAATAATTCATAATCCTGCATGATTTAAAAGTGTATTATAACTTAACAAGTTGGAGGGACTGATATATTTACAAAATGACCCCATGAAAATTCACTAGCCAGTCGGGCCGGTGACTCTGGAGATTTGCTGGCCCGACTGGATATTTACTAGCCACGGGCTAGCGGGCCAGTGGCTATTCAGCACACTGGTACCAGGACTGCTTTGCTTGGTCCACAAGATCTGGCTTATCAACAGTCATATACAGTATTCCATTCAGTACTTTGCTTTTTCAACTTTGTTTATCAAACTGGTACGATCTTTGCAAATTGTGATTTTGTACATAGTTGGTTTTGACTACTGGTTTTTCTTGTCAATATTGTGGATGTGATACTTCCTGATGAACTGAGCCCATTTGGCAGCTGATGCAATGTATAGTATTATGTTTAGTGTGAATGAAGCAAGACGAACCAATGCATAATTGTTTTTCATTAATTTTATCCCCAAACAATCAAAGTCCTGGAAAGAGCAAATCCATAGCACCCATTTTGAATTTATTATTTTCAGGAATTTTGAGAAATGTTTAAAGATGATCTCTGATTTGTGGTCTGACGTTGTTCGGTCAAGGTCATGCCATGGTAGACCAGTGACATGTAATTGTTTGAATGGCATTCTAGATGGTGGTGGTATAACGACAAAATAAAGAATTTGATCATCCATGAAGTTTTGTCATCTCCAGAGACATGTAATTTCAGATATTGTTAAGTGATTGATTGATCTCCATCAGAAACTTACTTTAGATGACAGTGTGTATTTAATCAGTGGAATCTGATATCCCGAATTGTCATTTGGTCCAAGTGTAGTTCCTCTTTAATGAAATTGTCAGTACACATTGGAATGAAATTCCACAATGTAGGGTTCCACAGTTTTACTACCCACTTATGAAATGGGTGAATTTTGCTGTTATGTTTTTATGTAACTGGTTCTTGTGGCTTTTGATGCTTACAGATGACTTGAGTGTATTTCTGAAGGTTGTTCATTTATAAGTGGAGTGATTATTGGGGGATTTCGCTATTTCAGTTCATAATTTAGCCTGTAATTGTTGCTCTTAAAGGAATAAGGTAAGAAAAAATGGATTGGAGAGCAGAGATTTGGAAGCTTTGCAGCTCAGGCTGAGGGTTGACTATGAAGGATGTTTCTTAAAACTTGGTTCAGCTTCTTTGAGAGGCATTTACAAGTTAGAGTAATGAGGAAGGATAAGATATACCGATGGACAACTTCTTTATTACAATAAGAGCGGCATTTTTGTGTTGGTCTAATACTTTTGTCAAGCATGTGATGATCTTTCGGCATATCAGTGTTAAACAGGGAGCCTAATGTACCTGGCTAGCTATTCTTGAAACGTTCATAGCCCTAAGAACTTCTTAAGCCCATTCTTAACACATTGGCTACGATCAAAGTTAAGAATTCTTAGGGCTACGAAGGTTTCAAGTATAAGGGCCCTGGCTTCGCATGAGAGTGAAGGGTCTCAATCACAAGCAGGTGCTTGCATATTCAATACACCAAAATGTATCTTTCTACATATTTTAGTTAAAGACAAGTAATTTTCTGGTACTTTGTATGGTATACATTGTATGTCATAATAATAAGGGAAGACTTAAGAATATACTGAAGTTGGTTATTGTCAGAGTCAACTTCATTTGAACAAAACCAGATCAGACATATACTTTAGGAGTTTGTGATCACTGAGCTGCTGAACACTGAGCTTCTGATCTCCGTATCAATGATCATCTTAAGTGATGGATATATCTATCTCTCAAACAAAGCAAATGGCCTACATGTACTACTTATCAGACTACTTATTTCAACACATTTCATACTTAATTTCAGTTACTTGTGTATTATATTGGAGTGAATAATATACTGGACAAAATACGTTGGGGATATTGGTATTTTTATGATTGATATTTTATCAGTGTGTCAATGAATAAATAGATTATTATTCATAATTTCAAAATTTACATATATCCCTAACTATTTTTGGCCAGTATATTAATGCAACAATATCCTTCTTTTTTTTAAGCTTCAACCTCTTTTCCAGAAACAAATAGTATATATTTTTTTTTTCTGCACGCTGATATGTGTTATTGCTGTTAATTTCGAATGATATAATTTGTTGACAAGTTTTGTTTTGCTATGTATATTTGTTTTGAATTAAGTTATATTTTAGACTCGGTTTTGAATCCGTAGTTTTGATTGGTTAAGTTTGAGAATTATATTATAGACAATCTCTGTTTGTGAGTGACTATTTCTGTGTTATTGTGCATATCTGTTAAAGATATGGCAATTCTTGAATGGTGAAAAACTTGTTATATCTTACAGTTGAGACAGCACATCATTCTATGTGAACATGCCTCTGCATGAATGTAAATCTTTAAAGATACACCATTTTTAAAAATTCAAGCTTTTTGATTCAATTTTCTGCTTTTTTGCCATCTTTTAAAGATTTACACAATAATTGTCTGCTTTGTTTTTCGAACCTTTGTTGCCGGTGCCTAAGCTTATGATGATGATTATTATAATCTGACTGCTATGTCAACCTTTATATACCAGGGCTTTTCGGAATTTGTACCATTTTGCCTGACATATTCTTGTCTCCCTTTGCATATGAATGAAACTGTTTTTGTGAGTTACATGGACGCATGAAGCATGTTGGTATAATGCTGTCGGTTGTCTGTGTGGTCTTGTGAATGTGATACTCCATGCTTAGTTCTGATATTCTCTGTATATGGTAATGGTGTTTGAAAGAGTGGAGTGGGGAATAAAGATTATATTCACACTGGTGTCACAGGTTTATTTGTCAGAAAACGCTTGTCAGCTGACTTTGCTGAAAGTCATATAGGCTTATGACCTGGTCTGTTATTCACTAGTCAGCCATGGTGATCATCTCTGACACAAATGGACCTGTCATGCCTTGGACTTATAGGCCTTCTGTTAACAGTGATAATGAAACCTGAATTCAAGAGATTTCAGTCGATGGGCAATAATAAATAGAGATTATTACATGAGCAAGTGTGTCATACCACCTATATGAAACTTGTGCAAAATTATGTATTTCGCTTTCTCTCGGGCAATATATATTTATATAGCGTTGAGTTTCAGCTAGGCTGCTCACAGGCGTTTTGTTTTTCCCTCGATCGTTGGATGTCAGTCTCAGCGGCATTATATATTGTCAATCTCAACTCCTTCGGGAATATACAAATCTTGCAGCCACTAAGCGCACTGAGTCAGTGTGGCTTTCCCACCTTACAAGGTACCCATTCACAGCTGGGTGGACTGGGACACATAGTCACAGTACCTTGTCCAAGTTTACTGCACGTTGCTGTACCCGCAACTAGGTGTTTGCACATATTCTTGTGGTCACCATCTGGTCATATACCAACAGATTTGTGGGTTCTTTTAAGTGCACAGGGTTGTGTACTGTACACTGGGGGTTGTGACAACACTGAAAGAGTCTGCACACAAATTGACTCTCAAGGTTTTTAAAACACCTCCCAACCCTCCGTCACCACAAAAAGATATACATGTTTGTGTGTATGTCAAACTGTAAGATCAATTGGACATGGAGAAAGAGGCACACACAACAATATAAAAACAACTGAAATCTTAAAATGTCTTTTATTTCTCCCTCCCTACAAACTAGAGTGAGTGAGTTGGGTTTTACGCTGCCTTTAGCAATATTCCAGCAATATCATTGCAGGGGAAAACAGAAATGGGCTTCACACATTGTACCCATGTGGGGAATTGAACCCAGGTCTTCAGCGTGATGAGCGAACACTTTAACCATTATGCTACTCCACTGCTACTCCAAACCAGAATATTTTTAAACATTCACCATAACCAAGATGTAAAACTATCTGGCCTTACAAGTTCCACCCACATAATGGTAAACAGCCAATATGTTACCATCTGATGTACAGTCACCACCAAGCTGTTCTGTGCACACCCACACCAAGTCTACCAGCTGTTTCAGTATCCAATAATTACAATGAAGAAATACAATAAGTTTGATTTAGAAATTCTAGACATATGATCTATTCATGTCAGCAATGTCTCGACTAGCAAACATACTGTACATAACTTAACAATACCTACCATTTATATCAACACTGGCTAATGATATGCATCAGTTGATTATGATTATCCCACCTATGTCATGCTACATCCAATAGTTCAAAGGTCAAGGCCCATGTTCCGATATTTCTGTTGTGAGAAAGTATGGTTTTCTGCCGCTTTTAGCAATATTCCAGCAATATCACGTTAGGGGACATCAGAAATGGGGTTTACACATTGTGCCCTTTGATAAAACATGACTTCAGTGGGGTTTAAAATAATGTTTGCAACCACATTGATTTTTGTTGCCAGGGACAAAATTTTCACTTTGATAATGATGAGTGAGTGAGTGGGTTTGGTTTTATGCCATTTTAGCAATATTCCAGCAATATCACAGCAGGGGACACCAGAAATGGGTTTCACACATTGTACTCATGTGGGGAATCGAACCCAAGTCTTCAGTGGGACGAGCAGACGCTTTATCCACTAGGCTACCCCACCACCCCAAAAATGTTAACTCATATCACAATGCACTATCATAACATCTTTGACATGACAATGTTTATGATGAAACCAAATCCCATTTTACATATTGGTTACATGATGACATGGTGTCCAAATGATCCTACCAATTTAAACCATGGCCAACATTCAAAGTAAGTTAGCTCCTGTGACAGAGAATGTTTGTCTCCGGTAAAAGTTTGCAGGTCAGAATCACGCAGACAAAACACATTTTTTGTGGAACTTTTGTTTGTTTGTTTAATGCCACACCCAGCAAACTATGATGGGGGTCTGTAAATAATCTAGTCTGGACCAGACAATCCAGTGATCAACAGCATGAACATGGATCTACACAACTTGGATACGATGACATATATCAACCAACTCACAAGCCTGACCATCCGATCCCGTTAATCACCACTTACAACAAGCATATGGGTTGCTGAAGACCAATTCTAACCCAGATCTTCACAGGTATTTTGTACAATATGGAACAAGTTTTTATGGATAACAACTTCTTTATTTCGTGAGTGCGACGTTTCGATACAGATTCTTTTACCATTGTCAAGCAAAACTTGTTCCATATTGTACGTCTCAACTTCTAAAAATGCCACTGGGTACGTATTTTGTAGGGGTGGGTATTGCAGAGAATTTTCATATTGCGATATATTGCGATGGATGCAAAATGTATTGCAATATATTGCGTGAAGTATTTTTACACAAAAAACTACTTATGATCAAGGTAATGCTTGATTTATAGAACAAATACACAGCAAAATCACTATGCTCGATTAAGCTTTAATAACAATTTTTATTCATGATTAAAAATAAAATGTGAATAATATTTTGCACAAATGAAAAAAGGAAATATCCGAAGATTTCTGAAGTTTTCCGAATGCAAGTCAAAATACTGGTTTTCGATCAGCGTATCGCAATAGGTATCGTTTTCATGTCTGAACCGGTAAATACCGGTAAACCGGTTACTATTATATTGCGCAGCCCTAGTATTTTGTTAAACTGTTCTATGAGCAATATAAATAGGGAAAAAAAGTCTGCCATTGCCAAGTTGTGTTAACTAACAATTCAGTCAGATGATGTATAGTTCAAGGGGGCAGTGGGGTAGTCCAGTGGTTAAAGCATTGGCTCGTCACGCCGAAGACCGGGGTTCGAATCCCCACATGGGTACAATGATTGAAGCCCATTTCTGGTGTCCCCCGCCATGATATTGCTGGAATATTGCTAAAAGCGGCGTAAAACCAAACTCAGTCAGTCAGTCAGTATAGTTCAAGACAAAGTAGCCCTAGTTTTCGACTGGTTGCAGAAATCTAACCTGAATCTCATTTCATCTATAACCAAGCTATTTCTGTGTACATCAACATCATTTTATTTTGTATCACTTGCATCTTATTACTCATGAAGAGATCACCTTTAAATAACATTACACCTTCAAGAATAACACACAAAATATGGTGAAGACAGTAAGATATTATATATTAGCTGGGATCCTATCCACAAAACGTTCGTAGCACTATGCCATTTGTAAGTCAATGGTAAAGTATAGAGTTACGATTGGTCGTAATCTTACGAACGCTGTGTGGATTGGGACCCTGGACATTGGTATCACTGAGATGCAGTATCACTGTGCGGTGTTGATGACCTATTCACGACAGATGCCATTGTTTGGTGTGAACATCAGAGGTGTGTATAAGATCCACTGTGCATTCATCTCAAAACTCTACTAAGAATATTTTACATGAATATATTCATGCTTGTGTTGTACTGCAAACAGAACTTAAGGTGGAAAGATCGTCGTTGCCAGGTTCACTTACGACCTTGAACCTTGTGCTGTAAATGAGAAAAGAGCCCCTGGAATGAGTTGACAATTGTCACCAGAGTTGTCATTCTCATGTGAGCACATGCAAGCGAGTTGTGAATCTTTCACGGTCAAAATTAACAGACACACCTTCATGATCTATACCAGATAATCTGCTAACTTAATATCACATAGTGGTTCCCAATTGCGCAGATCGATGGTCATGCTGTTGATCACTGGATTGTCTGGTCCAGACTCGATTATTTACAGACCGCCACCATATAGCTGGAATATTGCTGAGTGCGTTGTAAAACTCAACTCACTCACTCACTCACTAAGATCACATAGCGAATATGATGTGAGGAATGTGTCATCTCATGGGTTCCCCTCACCTACTCTCATTTAACTGGAAAGATAGATTGCCCATTGTTGGCAGATGTCCGACCTTAGTCTGGCTGAATGTTACATCTACTTCTAAAATATATCATTAAATACTGTTATTATTACAGTTGTACTTTTCAAAATGTCTCTTTTATTACAATAGTGTTTCATGTCTATAAGGAGCTGAAGAGATTTGTTAATTCCAATTTTGAAATGAACAGGGTTTCAGATGCTGTATACAGAAACCATCAGTTATCAACAAGCACCATCAACAGTGAGTGTCCGGACTGCTGACACCATCAACAGTGAGTGTCCGGACTGCTGACACCATCAACAGTGAGTGTCCGGACTGCTGACACCATCAACAGTGAGTGTCTGGACTGCTGACACCATCAACAGTGAGTGTCGGACTGCTGACACCATCAACAGTGACACCATCAACAGTGAGTGTCCGGACTGCTGACACCATCAACAGTGAGTGTCCGGACTGCTGACACCATCAACAGTGAGTGTCCGGACTGCTGACACCATCAACAGTGAGTGTCCGGACTGCTGACACCATCAACAGTGAGTGTCCGGACTGCTGACACCATCAACCATCAGTGAGTGTCAACAGACTGCTGACACCATCAACAGTGAGTGTCCGGACTGCTGACACCATCAACAGTGAGTGTCCGGACTGCTGACACCATCAACAGTGAGTGTCCGGACTGCTGACACCATCAACAGTGAGTGTCCGGACTGCTGACACCATCAACAGTGAGTGTCACTGCTGACACCATCAACAGTGAGTGTCCGACTGCTGACACCATCAACAGTGAGTGTCCGGACTGCTGACACCATCAACAGTGAGTGTCCGGACTGCTGACACCATCAACAGTGAGTGTCCGGACTGCTGACACCATCAACAGTGAGTGTCCGACTGCTGACACCATCAACAGTGAGTGTCCGACTGCTGACACCATCAACAGTGAGTGTCCGGACTGCTGACACCATCAACAGTGAGTGTCCGGACTGCTGACACCATCAACAGTGAGTGTCCGACTGCTGACACCATCAACAGTGAGTGTCGGACTGCTGACACCATCAACAGTGAGTGTCCGACTGCTGACACCATCAACAGTGAGTGTCCGGACTGCTGACACCATCAACAGTGAGTGTCCGGACTGTGAGTGTCTGCTGACACCATCAACAGTGAGTGTCCGACTGCTGCACACCATCAACAGTGAGTGTCCGGACTGCTGACACCATCAACAGTGAGTGTCCGGACTGCTGACACCATCAACAGTGAGTGTCCGGACTGCTGACACCATCAACAGTGAGTGTCTGCTGACACCATCAACAGTGAGTGTCCGACTGCTGACACCATCAACAGTGAGTGTCCGGACTGCTGACACCATCAACAGTGAGTGAGTGTCACCATCAACAGTGAGTGTCGGACTGCTGACACCATCAACAGGACTGCTGACACCATCAACAGTGAGTGTCCGACTGCTGACACCATCAACAGTGACTGCTGACACCATCAACAGTGAGTGTCCGGACTGCTGACACCATCAACAGTGAGTGTCGGACTGCTGACACCATCAACAGTGAGTGTCGGACTGCTGACACCATCAACAGTGAGTGTCGGACTGCTGACACCATCAACAGTGAGTGTCCGACTGCTGACACCATCAACAGTGAGTGTCCGGACTGCTGACACCATCAACAGTGAGTGTCCGGACTGCTGACACCATCAACAGTGAGTGTCCGGACTGCTGACACCATCAACAGTGAGTGTCCGGACTGCTGACACCATCAACAGTGAGTGTCCGGACTGCTGACACCATCAACAGTGAGTGTCCGGACTGCTGACACCATCAACAGTGAGTGTCCGGACTGCTGACACCATCAATACAACAACCAAGAATCCTGACTTGATGATCTGCAAAGCTGGAAGTCTGTGGTAACAGGTGTCACCACAAGAATGCTGTATCATACGGAACATGTGGAACTCAGATATCCACTTTATGTCTTTTATCATATTAAATGTATTAAGTATTGGCTATGATTGTTACGAATGAAACACCAAAGATATGCTTTCATATGTTATAATATGTTGTTGTCCATTTTTGAGAGAAAGCGGCCAAGTTCGGCCAATCTTGTAAAATATACTCATGGAAACAAATAAGGGAACACATGAAAGCAAAAGTGTTCCTATATTCTTTTCCATGCTTTGTATTGCACTGTGGGAGAAAAGCTGGAAAAGCAGAAAGGAACACATGTCCTATCATGTGTTCCTTCATTTGTTTCCATGAGTATATTTACTTTTTTGTTATGGCTATGTCTTTGTTTGAATAAGCTAAGAGGTTGGGGATCCAGATCATTTTGTTTCTTTTTAGTCACGTGTTAAAGAATGTGCTTATCAGAAATGGCATTATTCTCTTCAGTGTGATTCTCTCACATTTTATAATTCTCATAAATCTTTACTTACCTGTGAAAAATATTTGTTAAACATTACTTCCCATGAACATAGACGTGCATTAACTTGTTTGTATTTGTTAAGATTGTAATGTGATTATGTACATGTTCTATAAAAATCAGCTTGGGTCGCAGATTCATGTTCAGATATTACAAAAACACTTACCGGGTACATAAACCTTTTTGACAGACTTTACGCGAATTTCATTTTCAACTTCAGTTCTCATTCATATGTACAAACCTTTCAACTTTCATAAATTTAAATATTATTTAAATAAGTTTAGATCACTTCTCAATCCAGCAGATCCTGTTGGTAGAGAAGTGCCATAATACTTGCCTCATCTTTCATTAGTGGACGAACTGCTACCTTTCATGACAGTCCTACAGATGACAACATGACACATTGCATGGTTAACATTCACGTACAAAGTTAACGATTCACGTACAAACAAAAAAACAAAATTAAAATTTCTTTCAGGTTTTAATTATTTTTATGCTTTTGAAGTGCATAGATTACAAAATACTATCATTCAACAAATACATTGAAAAAACATGCTCCATAATCAATAATATATAAGAAATGATAAACTCAAATCACTTCTTGTCTGAAGTTTCAAACCACACAGCAAACACATCAAAACTTCCAACAGATAAACTTGCCGTCTGCTTAACTGCATCAGAAATACAAATGGCCTCACACACTATACCTGTGTGGGCAACAAACCAAGAACCTCACTGTGATAAGCAAACACTCTAACCACTAGGCTACCCAATATAACATCATGGAAGGTAATACTGCCCTTGTGCTAATATTGCTTTGTTGCCGCTCCCCACTGAAATCAACACTTAATTCTATCAACAAAACAAACTATGCGCGCAGTGAAAGAATTGCATGGTATAACAATATCTTGCATGACTACCACCATGATCACACAGTGGGAGGTGAAATGGGATTCACGATTATTTCATTTCAGCAGCAAAGTTTAATCCTGCTAGACGGATGAGTGAGTGAGTTGGGCTGTACACCGCTTTTAGCAATATTCCAGCAATATCATGGCGGGGGACACCAGAAATGGGCTTCATACATTTTACCCATATGGGGAATCGAACCCAGGTCTTACGCGTGATGAGCTAACGCTGTAACCACAAGGCTACCCCAACGCCTACAAGACAGATGAGATACTATGCAACAGTTTAACATGAACACTCCATTCATTAACAGTATACTGACCAAGAGCTGGACAGTCCTTGTTTTAATGCTGAATGCCAGGAATGCCAGCAAGAGCCATCTTTTAAAGTCTTTTTGTTCAAGACCCAGGCAAGCTTTGCAGGAACTAGGCAATGAAGCTCTTTTGGTGAAAGTTGGCCTAAAATTTATCAGATCAAGGTGAATTTGGCACTTGGACCCATTATCAGCATATCCTTTATGATCAAGGGATGTAACTCTGCAAAGGAAACTGTAGCACCTCGACATCTGGGTCATCGTTGGACCCATCACAAACTGCTAAAAGGTCACATAGGAGACTGAGCTCTTACATGTTGGGGATGTCTTATCAAACAGATCAAATTCTAAAATGTTTCTCTGTCTAATGCTTTACCAATGTTGAGTGAGTGAGTTGGGTTATACTCCGCTTTTAGCAATATCCCTGCAATATCACGAAGGGATGGGCTTCACACACTGTACCCATGTGGGGAATCAAACCCCAGTCTTATTCGTGACGAGCGAATGCTTTAACCATTGGACTCCCCCACTGTCCCCCTCCCTCCCCCTCAAAATGTACAATGCACTCATGCCACTGTTGAAGCACACTGCATAAAGGACATAGCAGTGCTGTTCACATTCACACCTGTCCATATAAACAAAAGCACCTGTGGAAATTGGGAATCGATTCCCTTGCTATATACACTGCAGATTGCACACTGTATCAATAACTCATGCATTAACAATGCACATTACATCAAAATTACAACATGTTCCGGCATCAAATACACAGTAACACCTGCAAATCTCAACAAACACGATGCTCATCTCGTAGCTACATTAGTAATAAAACGAATACACATGCACTCACCACGATGCAGATGCCAGCAGATGGGGAATTATAGACTGAGTTTGGTTTAACGCCACTTTTAGCAATATTCCAGCAACATCACGGCGGGGGACACCAGAAATGGGCTTCACACATTGTACCCATGTGGGGATTCGAACCCGGGTCTTCAGCGTGACGAGCCAACAATTTAGCCACTAGGCTACCCCACCGCTCCCTGGTGAATTATAGAATAATCACATAATCATATATGATATATACATAACACATGAAGGGACACAATGTTGTTACCCAATCAGACATGATTTCGTCCTTGATGTCTTGAGGGTTCCCATTCCATTATGATAAACAACCTGGGCCCGTTTGTAACCACAACTTCAATTTAACTTAATGATAAAATAATGATCCAATCAAATTGCACTTCTTTTGTGATAGAAAACACATCATGTTGCTGGTACTGTTTCAAGATTACATCTTTCAGGGTATTTATCTTCTCTAAGTAGCATCTGGAAGATGGTGTGGATAGTTCCATGGATATACAGCTTCTTTATTACAACATATGCGACATTTAGCTATAGATGCTACTCACATCACTCGCTGGTGTTAGCAACATCGCACATATATATATATTGCAAAACTTAGTTTAGAACAGTTGCCTGAACTAAGTGGCTATATTTACACTAGCTGAGTCTAAACTTGAAGAAAAGTATACAATGCAGAGTGATAATTCTAGTGAATGCCATAACATTTACAGATGGCAGAGTGATAATTCTAGTGAATGCTATAACTATATCTATCTATCTATACATATGACAGAGTGATATATATATAATGCAGAGGGATAATTATAGTAAATGCCATAACATTTACATATGGCAGAGTGATAGTTCTACTGAATGCTGTAACTATATATATATACTTCTCATCAAAAGTTTAGACTCACTAGTGTAAATATAGCCACTTACTTCAGGCCACTGTTCTAAACTAAATTTTGCAAAATATTCCATACTGTTTAAAGGTACTGTTTAAACATGAACTGATGTACTGAAAAACAAATTTGTTACATTGAAAAGTCTATCGTCATGAGTTCAGTAAATGATAAAAATCAGTGTAAATTGGCGAATTCTTAACAAAACTTTACACCAAAACGCAGCTGTTCACATGCATGATATTTGCACATGATTTTTAGCAATTTGATGCATGATCCTCGTGCAATACATCTACATAGAGTTTGCAAATGTTTCCCCCAAATTAGTGGAGAAATCAATCTTCGATGTAACCATATGTATATGCATAACATACAGTCAATGTTTTAAGCGAGTCTAAAGTTTTGAAGAGAAGTATATATCAATAAAGAAGTTTTATATCCATCGAACCATCGCAACATGTCCCAGATACAACTGGATATGACTGGTAACACTATAACTTCACTCCATAACAACTTTCTTCTGATCTGAAAATAGACAAGTATGGGAACTTTTTACAACCACGATAAGTTTGCTTTTCTCAAGTACCAGTAAACATATTTCATATAAACCACTTCTGCAGAGATGCCAACCCTAATTTAGCCCAATTAGTATTTTGGCCAAAAACTGATTAAAAAATTAGTATATGTTGGCCAAAAATTAGTATTATCTTTTCCAAAGAATTTTCATATTAAATAAAAAAATTAAATATATAGTCTAAGACCTTGTTTTTAACGTTATACTCAACTAAATCAGTAGTAAGTATCCACATATAGCTTGATACTGAATATAATGTGATCGAAATTTATTGTGTATGGTATGTATGCTATTTAATAATTTAATTTAATGTATTTTTTAAAAAATCATATATATTTACTGCTATCGTAGTCGTGTATTTTGTGTTGTTTTTCCATAACGAATATGATAAAATCGTATGGGTTGGCATCTCTGCTTCTGTGCTGAGCTATGGATTTTGTGGTGCATCCAGTGTCTGTAACTGTCTGTAACCCGCTTTTGGCAGGTTAAAAACCTTTACTCCAACTATATGTACAATACAGAAATACACAGAGGCAAGCACGCTGAAAAAAGTAACTGTGCTTCATATCACAAATAACATAACAGTTGGTTAATTGTCTGAGAAATGTTCTGTCATAACAAATTCCTTGACAAATCCCCAGACCTGGTACCAGGAGACTGAGTGAGTGAGTGAGTATGTTTTTACGCTAGTTTTAGCAATATTCCAGCAATATCACGACAGGGGACACCAGAAATGGGCTTCATACAATCATTGTACCCATGTGGGGAATCGAACCCGGGTCTTCGGTGTGACGAGTGAACACTTTAACCGCAAGGCTAGTCCACTGCCCCAAATATCAGTATAACAGTGGTGGTGTAACATCTGAATTAATTAAGACCATCATTGTTACGACTATTTGATACAGGCAATAATTTAAACAAATTGTGTGTGTGCATGCGTGCATGCATTGTTCTAAATGAGGTTGGTCCAAACCCCATTGTGTGCAGTTGAACATTAAATTAATGTGCATACCATGCCGGGACATCTAAACGTCCAGATAGTGCACTGTGCTTGCATGTATAGTCTGTTTGGGTTCAAATGAGAACGACAAATGATTAAATAACTCGAAATAGAGATAAGTGCACAAAATATAAGTGACACATGGTCCTGAAACCTCTGTACCCAACAGGATTTGAAAGCTGACGTTTTTTCATCGATTACAGAAAAAGTTGTTTAAGACACCTGGGGGGGACAACCGGCTGATGGAACAGTGCCTAACAAGATCGGGTCATCTCACCTGGCTGTGCTGAGTTACACCTGAATGTGTGCTGGTGCTGTTCCACCAGCCATTTGTCACCTCTCGGTGTGAAGCGTGAAAATAGCACAATATTACATGATGGTTCTTAAATAACTTTTTTCCGTGATTGATCATAAAACGTCAGACTTCAGATCTTGTTGGGTACAGAGGTTTCAGGACCATGTGTCTTATTTATGTTTTGTGCACTTATCCCTATTTTGAGATATTCATTGTTCTCATTTGAACCCAAATGGACTATACATAATGTGAATCAGTACCTCACAGTCAAGGGAGATGTCTTCATAAATAAATATGTATTGAAAAATGCATTATTTAATTTCAGAAAATAATTCTTTTAACATTAACTGGAGCACAGTTACTTCTTTCCACTAGTATCCAAAACTACTAAGGTCAATGACAAATTTGCCCCCATTAATATTCTACAGTGATTAGCAGCCAGATGTGCATTAACCTGTAAACTCAACTCATTTGCATATTTATCAGATTGATACAGGAAGTATATTAGACAGGCTTAATGAATCAATAGCTATCTATTATATGATAATGTCACACACCATCCTTCTGATAGTGGAGCCTGGCCAAGTATGAGATGCTGCAAGCACCATTCCACTCAGTCAGACATCTTTGTTTACCAGCTCATATATGATGCTTAGGGACTGTTCATAATTTATGGCCAAGGGGGGTGGGAGGAGGTGGTGTGTGGATGGGGTGGTGATAATGTTGAGGACTTTAAGGGGGTTCATCCATTTAGTTCTGGGGAATTGAGTGAGTTTAGTTTTACGCTGCACTCAGCAATATTCCAGATATATGGCGGCTCTGGGGGAGTAGGGGCTGGGGGTGTCACATGTACTTGGGATCAATTTTGTATGTATTAATATTAAAAACTATGCTTAAAAATTATTGGAGGGGGCATTGATTTTATCGTGTGTACACACAAATTTTAGGGGTTAATTCACATTGTACATGCTTCTCCATAAAAATCATCATCACCCCCCTAGCCATAAATTATGAACGATCCGTTATCATTCAAAAGTAACAAAATATTTTTCTGACTGGGTTGTTACTGTCTATGTAGTTTCATGACTGCTTGAAAAAAGGGATGTCTGGCTTACCCAAAATGATGCAATAAAGGAGTTGTCATCCAATAAAGTTTGTATATATATATGGAACATATATGTACTCATTGTTATTAGGGGTTGAGACAAAATCAACTTTAGGGGACAGATTATTTGAAGGTTACCATTGTATATATGTTATGTGTCTGGGTTGGTGGCCTTCATGCGTAATAATAAAGATCTTTGAATATTTCCTTTTTAAGACCTCACACAGAAGCAGGGTGACTCACAAATTGTGTATGTTGTAAAACAATAAATACACTACCCCAAAAAGAAACAATCTGCGGTCGAAATTAATGTCCTAAGGCCCGAATGCCGACTGAACCACTTGGACCCACAGCTTTTGTTTCCTGCAGGTCCTAATGGCCGACAGTGTTTTCAGCCCCAATAAGTAACAGTAGTATTTTAAAGAAAATCTCATTCAGTAATTTCTAGTTTTGATCTCAATCAGCAGCTGTTGTCGGTGAAACGAGGAAGCAATTTAAATTACAGACTTTCAGAAGACCTGGATCTTGATTTTGTTGTAAATGAAGATTAATCAGTCACTAGAATTAAATTAAACTCTTTGACTCGGTTTGTTAGTTGTCACATTGTTTGCTGGGACTTACTTAAATTGTACCTACAATATAGGGCCTACAAATTCTGATCAGGACCCACAACCTTTTATGGTTCTGGGTCCTTAGGGCCTGCAGCTTTTCAGGGTTAAGGGCAAACATTGGAAACAATACCAAACCTATCCTCAGTAGTTCAATATCTATTCCATCTATCCTAAACATCAGTAGGAGGTCAACAGACAAGAGGGACACAAAGAACATAATCCATCTGGGATAATGCTTGTTGGCGGCATAAATATCACTCTTGCCATAATTTCATGTTTATTGCATTATTTTAAATACTTGAGATGATATATGTTATGTGAAATAAGAAAAGCAGAAGTATCAGCTGACCATTATGGTGGTGATGATGATGATGATGATGATGATGATGATGGTGATGATGATGTGGCAACAGCAAATACCAGTAGTGGTTTATGACATCAATACGGCCACCATATAGAGATGGCTTGCACATCTTGATGATGATGGTGATGTTGATGATAATAATGATGATGTGTGGGCATTGAGACTTAACAAAAAAAAATCATAACTCCAAAACCCACCTTGTTACCTATTCCTGCTGTTTACTTAACAACCCTTGAGCCATGCCCAAGATGCTGAGTGGTCATTGTAGTTTGTGGAATACCTGTATTCTCCCAAAACTAAAAAATCTAAATGTCTCAACACTCAAGGCCAACAATCCAAGTTTTTAAAACCCCACTAAAATCTGATCTTTAACTCTGACCCCTCTCTGCATTAATATCTGATGACACCTGCTCTGAAGGTCTTTTCAGGTGTACCCTTAGCAAACTTCGACCAATCAAAGTGAAGGATGCTTGGGGTCTTCATTCAACCAGATGTCAGCATCCCATTTCTTTCTTACCTTGATTCAACAATATTGATTCCAACAAAAGAAAACCAAGACAGAAGCATATAATCCTTTGATGGTCTAAAACTGTTCATGCTTCCTACTCAGAAACAACAGGAAGGGAAGCATAAAATATAAATAACAATTGTGTTGCCTCCGTCATTTAGTGATTTACATGCAGAGGATGCGGAATAACTTCAAGATAGAGAAATTAGATATGCATGTATGAATGCTTCATGCAACAGTCCTGAGAAGTCAGAGGCCATGGCACTAACTGGCTATTTAGAACTCTAACTGACGTGAGCTTCTATGGAGACCACAGAGAGGTACTGTATTGAGTAAAAGTCTGATTCTATTGAGGTTCTAGTTTTGTATGTAGTCATTGCATAGGCATGCTGCAAAAATGCTATAAGAATTTCTTATAAGAAGCTAAAAATGATAACTAATCACCAAACAAGGAGTCCACCATGTCTGATGTTGAGAGCACAGGGACTTGTAATGCAAGAAACTGGCATCAAGGTATATACTGTCACTGACGGGGTCTTAGCACTATATAAAAGGAAAGGGATGTAACGAGGTCCTTTTGGCGTTACAAGCCCCTCTAGTCTAGAGAACATTTGCTATAATTACCATTTAATGGTTTCGTATATATACAGTGAATTGAAATTCATAAAACACTTCTTATCTTGGGAGTGAACCATCATCAAGTAGACAAGACAATGCAACAATAATAACAACCATCAACTACCACACCATAAATAAACACCCTTGTTACACATAAACAGGCAATGAATGGATGAATTATACTTAATACAACATTGGAAAACTTCAGCTTATAACATTCTTACTAAATTGCGTAGTTCCACTATTAATTAAACTTCTACTTTTTAACAGTCCAAGGTCGTTCACTATTTCGCTGCCTCTCTAAAGATGACATAGCTTTTTTAGGTGGAACCAGTGCATTGGACACCCCAACTCTGGATTTCCGCTTCTTCCCTGCCATGTAGCTGTCATCGTCAGCTGGTTCAGCCTCCAACGCTGTACCTTGCATCTTGTGAACTGACCCAAAATACGACTGTTTATGATTATGCTGATTAAAACCCAACTTCTGGGCATCGTTCTCGTCAAGTTTGGTTTCGACAACAAGCCCTGTGACACTCTCTTGGTCATGGAAATACCGGCAGTTCTTTCCCATCCGACATTTTCCTTTCTTAAATTTCCAACACACCTGCTTAGTCCCTTTTTCTGGTAATTTTTCCGTCATTCGCACATGTTTTTCTAAGATGGAATTCTTGACGAGTTCTGCCTGCTCGAAAGGATTTTTGAACACAGAGGTGACGGTTTCCCTCCCTTGCTGTCCAATATCTGGAGTGGGTAGTTTGTCCTCCATGGGGTTCGGGAGACGGTCTCTCTCATCCTGAGAAGTACAGTTTGTTGAATCTTGATGGCCACCATCAGAGTCATCACTGTCGCTATCATCCTGGGTCATCAAGAAGTTTTGTGCACTGTTTTTATTGCTGGTGTCTTTATCTCTGTAAGGAAAATGTCAATGTTACCATGATGATTGATTCTGTGAGTGTAAGTGAGCCGTAATATTGCAGCAATATCATAATGGACACCAAAGTAAGGTTATGAGTAATTATGATTGGGAACAAGGGCTTTAGTGACCTATCTACCCACCCACCTACCAACCTACCTTCATCAAATTGTAAGCCATCGTGTTAAAAACTTGCTTCATTAATCACAAATGTCATGTGTATTAGGGTTAATTGTGCGTGGTTGGGTAATGTGCCCCAAACTCCTTAGCCCTTCTATGCCCTTCCTTACACAATTCAACTTGCACACACCAGCATTGCTATAATGCATGGTGCGCTTTGGGACACATAGTACCCTATTTTCGTGGGGCAGGTGCTCGGTCAAATACATTCGCAAATTAACAGTTGTAAGCATTGTCATGTTATTATACAAATCTAACGAATGGTTCTCTTTATTCAGCTGACTCAAAATGCAATATTACGTCTGACTTTCTTCGTCCTCCAGACCTTCGTTCTCGGATAATTCATCCTCGCTTCCGTAATCAGCAACAAGTGACGCCATGACACTTTTCGCGAAAGTGCGGCAGTGAATTTCGCGGAATTTTTTGATTGGCTGATAGTACCGGTAACTTCGTCGGCTTCGCTGTTCGGGAGAAAAAGTGAATTTACAATGAAAAACAAAATGAAATGTAATCACAGCTTGTATTCCAGTATTATTTGAAGTTTCAAAGCATCTTCCAGCAAAAGGAAATGAAAATAACCGATGTCTTCTTTGTCATTGTCCCAATCACTCCCCGATCAGCTGACGGATATAGATGGCGCTACTTACACTTTTTGAGAACCGAAGGGAATATGTCGGAATTGGTCGTACGATATTCCAATTATATAAATGTGCACTCGCTTTACAGACACCAATATGATAGTTGCACTTTAAAATTACTAACATATCTGTCATATAGAATGCATTTTGCTGCTTGAGAAAGTTTAGTACCTAGTTTGACCTCACTGGTGTCCCAGACGTAGTAGTTGAAATCCATTACCCAGCCGGGCCGCAACTAGTCTGTCCACTTTGACAGTCGGTGAAGGAAGATGTCGGGGAAAGTGAAGTCGAGAACTGCTGCGAATGCCGCCGACGCAGCCACTCAGTCCGTCAACGAAAGAATTCTGAAAGAGTGTCACACCCTATACATCGATCCAGAAAATGGTATGGGTATTTCTTTGGGTTTTAGAAGGGGTTGTTCTTTCCTGGCGCTTATGTAATGTATGCCTAGACGGTGACTCTGCAGACAGCAAATATGCGATTTAGGCGAGACGGTAGACGGACACGCATCAATATATTTCATTTAAATTCTTATCCACGTCATCAAATTGTGAAAATGACATTCTGGAAAGAAAACGCTCTTTCCTGATTGTCTAGTTAAAATATCCAACTTTTTTGGTCAGGCGATTGTAGCTAAATATAAATCCGTCTGCAGGGTCTCGGTTGTACCAGCTGATCAAAGGTCACAGTGCCGATGACTCATGTGCTAGGGTTGGGAATTTCCTACTGGTGAAATTTTCAATGAAATTATGTAAAAAATATCTACAATGTCCATTTTGACTACAGACGAAATATTTCTATGCAGAGGTAATGTATTAATCTATGGATGATGCCTGTCTGGATATGTAATGAGATGTTAAAAAAAAGTTGACATCTAGGTGGAGGGGCCTTTAAATTTTGTTTTGACAACACAGAAAAAACAAGTATACTCTCTTCATGACCATTGTCTGTGTATTTATTTGTAAAAATATTAAAAGTTTGATTCTTTCTGCGAAGATGTCAATGTCAGGAACAGCTGCTTCTGTCTTGTGCATGCAATCAATGCATGATAACTGAAAATATTTTAACAATGCATTTTTTATTTTGAATGTTTGTGAAGTCACTTTGATTGTTTTATATTTTCTTAAGTTACGTATCAGATGAATGAATTCTTTTCATATTGTTTTTCCAAATAACAAAACTGAAAAATCAAGCAGTTTATCCAAAATTGTTGCACATGTAATTCGAATGTGTCGTCTGCATGGCCCATATCACAAAGGGATTTGTTATGCTGAAATGTATTGTCCATGTCACATGTCATTTTAAATTGTTCAGTAGGTATTCTTGATATTTTACCGATAAACAAACATTGTTTATTGATATGCCAAGGAAATATAAGTTCTTATCTGTTTTAAAATATTGTATGGAATATGAGAGTTTGATTTTAAGTAAGATTTTGCCCCGACAGTTGTTATCCACTGTGATAACTTTAGTTTACTATGCTATATTTCTTCAAAATCAATAATTATATAACAACTTGTGTGGATTCTGGGACAAAAGATGTCCCATACTTAATGTTTTAACAGGCTTACAGTAGTAGCATTTCGATCTCTTTGTGGAAACCGAATCTGGATGATTGTGTATCATTGTACCCTCACAGTGGGGATTATTGTTAATGCAGTTATTAACAGGCAGCTGTGATACAGATGAATACTGCTGACAGCAGCTTGAAACATCCACTTTCTCTATATTAGCTTTGACTTAGTGCTTACAGTCTAAATATATATATAATTTTGATAGACACAATTTCTTTTCAATTGAAAGGAGCCCCAGTGAGAAATGCGATTCAGAATGGTGTCACATTGTCTGGTGTATCTGGACTAACACTTAGTCTCTGAATATATTATAATTTTGATAGAAACAATAATTACTTTCAAATTGAAAAGGAGCCCCAGTGATATGGGAGTTCAGAACCTGAAATCTAGACTGGCTTCATATAGGGGTTGAGCATTGCAGAAGGACTGGGCAGTAGGGTAAATAATGTGGTTCAGGGACTGTGAGACAGACTATATTACTATTAGCTTTGACATCTGCAATTGTTGAAAAGTATCCCATCCTACTCTGTTTAATGGCTAGGTGCTTGAGGAAACTCAGATGTCACGATGTCACCACCCACACATTTAAAGTTGTTCTAATATACATCTTTTGTTGTGAGGATAAGATGCAATTCAGCAGTGACACGACAGTATTAACATACTTCTTCGTATTCTTCAGAAAATCAGTGACACAGATGTGTCCTGCTAACAGACCAAATTGGTCAGTCTGACATTGTCCAGTCGGAATCAATCATCATTATGGGTGAGTGTCTGACTCAAGATGAGACATTTCACTATCTGTGATTCACTGCTGCACTCTGCTATTGTCATTGTAACTTACTGTAAGTCAGTTAGGTTTGCTTCTGGAAAGGTCTTCAGTCTTGGACTGGTTCCTAGAGGTTGATGACGTCTTGGCAGTTTCTTGGTCATGTACCAATTCTCATTCAGAGGTATGAACACATTGTTAGTCTGATTCAGTAATGTTTTCAAATCTGCTGATGTGGCAGTTATGAGCTGCTATTTTTCATAGACGTAAAAAAAAAAAATATAGCAGAAAATTTTGATGGATATCATTATCATTATATATGCTGAGATTTCATTTTTGTTTGAATGTAATTGTACATAATCTGTTGTGCTTATAATTAAGCTCGAATGTCAAGGGTGGTTAAAAACCTGATATAAAGTGCATAATTGTGGACAGTCTATTCCACAAAGTTAAATAGATTTCCTCCTTTTGAGATTTTGGGTGCGTGAAGCCGCATACTTGTGATAATTTATCTCTGTCAATTAATCCTGTTATCATTGTATAAAATAGAAATATGTGGAATTCAACACCATGTTACAGTGTGGGTGTGCTGCCGATCAGCATATGGAGGTGATATGCAGCTAGTTCTTGTGCAGCTGTTTTCTCCCTTGGTGGTGGCTCATGTTCATGGCTATCATGAACAAATGCTTTGTGGGAGAACGTCATCTCAGGAAATTGGAGAGGAGTTCAAATTAAGCCATGTCAGCACTATTTCAGCCATAACACTGCATCCTGGGCTTTGTACTGGAATCAAATATTGACAGTATTACTAGTATCATCTACAGATGTTTGTAGAAAACTTAAGGATAGCCAAACAAAAGTTGAAATGTGTAACATGAAATTAGATTGAGTTTATTGATCGCCAGGAACCAAACTTGGGCAATCAACACGAGGGACCAAGTGCCTTACAGCACCACTGCTGGTTGCATGATGCCCTGGCAAGATAAACACCATTTCCTTTGTTCATACCAATAGTTGACAAGTTGTCAAAGAAATAGGTTATGTAATAAATCGGTGCAGACATGAAACTACTTGTACTTGAGTGAAGTGGACTTTGGGTTTGAAACACAGTTGCAGGACATTCAGTTTAGTGTCAGGCATTTGAGATTTGAGCCACTACTTTCAGCCGATTCCTTTTTATACATCTACAAGCATCAAACAATGTATCAATCTGGATTTGGATTGTCCACGTTGAAGTTCCATCTGAGTTTTAGATAGGGCATCACTTTCCGTAACCTGCAAGAAGACTCCACTCTAAACCAATCAGACTGCATCTACAAGTGCTTTGGTCAAAGAGTCCCTCCTTTATTATAAAGCCATACCTTGTACCTGAAATCTTCAAATTGACATGGACCGCCTCCGCAACCGCCATACCAAAAGACATGGTGTAGTGGTTAGAAGCGTCCGCCTGGTCGAGAGCCGGAAGGTCGCGGGTTCGATCCCCAACCGCGTCATACCAAAAGACGTTAAAATATGGTACTTGTTGGTCCCTGTTGGTAAAATCCCATTTCACTTCACATCAAATTGACAGTCACCAGTGTTTCACTCAGTAGCAAGGGATTGTAAATGGCAACCATTTTATAGCAGATAATCATAGTGTTAAGATGCAACATCACCTGTGGTACAAGTACTACAACTTGTTATATATGTTCCCCTGGGGTGTCTGTTTGTCGGAAGACATAACCAAGTAGATAAAACTCCTGAATGACACAAGTGGTCACAAGTGGATAAAACTCCTGAATGATGTAAGATGATTCTTGTCATTCACTGTATCACATACGTTAAGCATACTGAAACAAACACTTTGGCGGTTTATTGTGTTTTTAACTACTCATTCCGGAATATTCCGACCATATAACAGCTGTTTGTAAATAACAAAGTCTGAACCATATAATCCAGTGATCAACAGCAGGAGCAACTGGGATGTAATGACATGTCAACCAAATTAGTGAGGCTGACCACCTGATCATGTCAGTCCACCTCCACCAGATCTAACCTAAATCTTCAGTTAAAAATGTTGAGGTAGTACATACACTGTGTATGCTTGATATGGTTGCACTGTCTACTGTCTGATGTACTATGTGCAACTACTTTGTGTTTTTGACTGGCATTCTTGAAGTTGAGGAGATGAAGAATGAGGACAATTTTTATGGATACACAACTTCTTTATTCTGTATAGGTGACGTTTCGACATAGATTGTAATGTCGGCAAGCAAGTTTCACATGTACCCCTTGCATGATGACGACATTAGATTCTATGTCGAAACGTCGCCTATATAGAAAAAAGAAGTATATTTATAAAAATTGTCCTCGTACTATGTGCAAGTAAAAGTAAAACTCATTTTTATTCAAACCATTCTTGACTTTACTTGCACCAATTTTATTTGAAGTGCATGATGAAGAAGATGATGATGGTGAATATTATGATGTGTCAAATCCATAACCTAAGTTGTGCTGTAAGTGCTATATTAATCCATGGCAGCTGATTGGCTCACCCAGCACGTTTTGTTCGGCCAAGCTCACACTCAGACTTCTGTTTCCTAACGAGCTGGTGATGGCGTAGGCGGGGCTTGTGCTGCATTATCCCACTGCCTGATGTGGGAGTATGTTGGCGGCTTTAGAAGTGTTTCCTCCCTTTGATACCAGGATCAGCTGCCCATTAGTTTGATTCCAGACTCAAATAAGTCCTACTATGTTTGTCAGTCGGCTGCAACAATTCACCCAGACCTCAATTTGATTCAGTTTTCGATATTTGGCCCTCGATTCGAACATTTTCAATTCGATTCTTCATGCAAGTAAAAACAAAAGATTTTATTTAACTCTCGGAGTCGGCTATTTTAGCATGAAATCCATCATCAACTTGGCGATATCTACTAACAGCAATTCTCATTGGATAATAGGCCCGGCATCAACCAATCACGTTTCGCCTTATTTCAGTGCTCGAAACTGCTCGAGCTGGAGTCAAAATTACATTCTGTTTTGTGTGCAGATAATTTATATAGGTATTCAAATATCGAATCGAAATAGTGATAGTGGTTAACGAAAAATGAAACTACGGTATCAGTCGTTACAGCCCTATTTGTCAGCACCACACCCATACATGTTGGTGTAGAAAATTAATGACTACAAAACTCTTGCTTCACATCAGATTTTCCTCCTACATTATTTTGACATTCTGTGATTGAGTTGAAATACTGTGGCAGAAAGACCTCGGACTCGCTCATCAGTACAGGATAATGTTGGAGTAACTCTTCTGATTCCTGAAAACTATTGAAGCCGAGTCCCTTCATTTTTAAGGAATGGAGTTACAAGAATATCAGCGAACTTAAATTATATTTCATATGACTAGGAAAAACATGTCTTGTTACATTTACTATATCCCAATGCAGAAATTTTTACAGTTTCGGGAAAACGTATACAGCCGTGCCCCGTTTATCCGGACACTTGTGTTTTTCTTGAAATTGTTCGGATAAACGAATTTCCGGATATCTGAACCACGGACCATATGTAAAAAGACATACAAAGAAACGAACATAATAGACCTCAGACGTAATCTTTAATGATAAGACATCAACAAATAACAATGCATACATAAAATCACATCTTGTCAACTAAAATAGTCGAGTCAGTAACACGTGCAAACATACCTGTACCTGCATCTGTCTGTCAAATGCTAGCAACCAATCATGAAACAGTTCTGTCATCCACGCTTTGGCATTGTTGCTGTACCTTACATAAACCTCCGGGTTTAAAGTCACTACCTAAACAACGGGAACATCTAGCCTTGCCAATCACAACTCAAAAATAACTCAGTGTCACCTTGCTAATTACAGGTAGTTAATCCTCTCACACTTCAAAGACTGCCGACATCATTTATGTTAGGGCACGCAAGGCCACTCGGTAAAACGTGTGTGTAAACATACTGACCGATGCTCAGCCATCCGGATATACGAGAAAAAATGCATATAATTTAGCTTTTTGTCTGTGAAAATGACCGTCTGGTTATGGAAACCGGATTTCCGGACAAGTGAGTAATTTTCACAACGTTGTGAATACTTTGTAAGAAATTTTTCGTTCAGAAGGCAAGTTTTCCGGATATCTGAGGTTCGGATAAACAGGGCACGACTGTATATTTTATAATATTCATCGGCTGAAGTAGGCCGCCATGTTTTCTATACCGGCTAAATGTGTACATGGCATGTAACATGCACTGAGACAGCTACTGTCTGTTACTTTAGCAACTCACCATTACTTATAAATAATAGAGTGTTAGAACAATAGAATGATCACAAATGTAATTTAATGCGACTTGCGTATTGTTTTTTTTATACATGCATTTCAAGCCAATAGACATAGCTCCCAAACATACTTTGGGAGCTAACATCTTCAGACGATTTAGATATGGTTTTGATTCTGAGCAGAAATTCCTACTAACTTACCAAATTTCTTGTTTATGTATTGTGTAAACACCACAAACCAAAACAAGCTGAATTGATGGCACCTGTCAGCAGGCTCATCGCCATTCTTTCTCAAAACCTACATCATACTGAGTCAACCAACATATACTCATCTCAATCCAGTATGATGACCTTGACCCTTCCCTTATTGAAAATGACCATTGATCTGATTGGCATATTTTATTTATAGCCAAATCAGATCGCTGGCTATTTTCAGTGTGGGGTAGGTCAAGGCCTATTTTGGCGTTACAAGCCCCTGTGAATATATGGACCCTGTACTAATCATGTAATAACGAATGGAGGTTGACAGCTTGAATATTTTCCTGTCTGATCAGGATTCTTGACAACAGGGAAATAACAGTGTGGCCTTGACAACTAACTCTGACCTGTGTGCATAGTTTAGATATGATAATCACGACCATATATTACTGATGTTTGTCAGCCAAAGGAAAACTTAAAGTGTGTTCAACAGTGTTACAATTACAATAGTATGATAGCATTATTCAGTGTCATGAGGGAAGGTGGGGTAGTTTAGTGGTTAAAGTGGTTGCTCGTCACGCCAAAGACCCGTGTTCAATTCCCCACATTGGTACAATGTGTATAGCCGATTTTTGGTGTCCCCATCATGATATTGCTGGAATATTGCTAAAAGGGGCGTAAAACTCGACTCACTCACTATTCTTGTTATGACGTGAAATATCAGTCCACTTGCTTGGTCAATCTGACCGAGCATGTAGTTGCATAGAAAACAGTATAACAATGTTGTCAGGGTTGATTTAGCTTTGAGTTTCTTTCTGATGAGGAAAATAATCTTGTGTAATGACTTCCATACTTATATTTTCTGTTATTAATGCAGATCACAGAGATTGATGATTGGTAATTAAATATTCAATTATTGTTTTTAGAAAAAATTCTTCACACAAAAGTGCAAAAAAGTCAACATATTACACACCATTCTTGAGCGGAAACCATGCTTGTCATAAGAGGCGACTAACGGGATTGGGTGGTCTTCCTTGCTGACTTGGTTGACTCATGTGATCGGTTCCCAATTGTGCAGATCGATGCTCATGTTGATCACTGTATTGTGTGGTCCAGACTGGATTATTACAGACCGCCGCCATATAGCTGGAATATTGCTGAGTGCGGCATAAAACTAGACTCACTCACTTGACCAGTGACATATTTATGTATGGATGACAAACCAAAAGAATTTTGAACATAATTTGGAAGTGGCCCATGAACAAAGACACAACTTGCGTGTTGTGTGAGGAAATTCAAAGTGTATAATTCATCAGAACAGTTTATCTAGGATATTATTGATGACAATATTTCAACTACTATAACAACAACTACATTACCGATTATCAATCTTTTTTTAGCCCCAATGGTTCTGAATGGCTTATCGTTTGGGATATTGAATGTTATCTAAAATGACCATAAGATTATGTTAAAAAGTTAGAAATGCCCTGTCAAATATATTTTCAAAATCGACCCGTGAAGATCTGGGGTAGGGTAGGTCTTCAGCAACCCATGCTTGCCACAAAAGGCGACTAACGGGGTCGGGTGGTCAGGCTCGCTGACTTGGTTGACTCATGTTTTTGGTTCCCAATTGTGCAGATTGATACTCATGCTAGTGACCACTGGATTGTCTGGTCCAGACTCGATTATTTACAGGCTGCTGCCATATAGCTGGAATATTGTTGAGTGCGGCGTAAAACTAAACTCACTCACTATTTTCAAAATCTTTGTTTTTTAGACTGTCTCCATGTCATGTCTGACAGCCTCCGTGGTGTAGTGGTTAAAGCTTCCGCCTGGAGAGCGGAAGGTCGCGGGTTCGATCCCCAACCGCGTCATACCAAAAGACACAGTATAATGTGTCTGAGTTGGGTATTCATGTTTCACTGCGGCATTGTATCTCAGTGGGCTAGCACTATAAAACCAGCTTCAGTCTGGGCTAGTACAAGCAGCTGCACATACACATACACACGCATGCACATCGTCATATGAGCAAAATATTCTCAAGCACGACGTTAAACCCAATTTCACCTCACCTCACCATGTCATGTCTGCACATGATACACAAAGAAGTCATTCTTCTACTTTCCCCACACTGTAATGTAGGTAAAACTCAATGCAAGTTCAAGGATTTCCTTGCCATCTTCCTGGCCCCACTTGCACTAAATGTTCTATGGTTACACTCATTGTAAGCCCATAAAATCTTGATCTTAGATTTAGGCTACAATCTCCATCCTCTTGCACAAAGTTGCAGGTGAATGAGATGATTGGAAGCTATAATCAAAATTTACAGTGCATCCAGATCCATCTTTGTGGTTAAAGCCCTGGGTGCCGTTGTACAAAACGATCTTTACGCTGAGGTGACCGTAACTCTCATACCTTAACATAGACTTAAGGCAGCCTTAGCTTAGGTTGTTTTGTACAACGGGACCCTGAACATACTTGGTAAAAGAATCAAATAAATAATCCTCAGTATTGTCATTCATGATGTTAACATGAATGCATCCCAGATTTTACTTTAGAGACATTGCTAACTGGGTCCTCAGCAACCCATGCTTGTCGTAAAAAGCGACTTACGGTGACCGAGTGGTCACACTTGATGACTTTGCTGGCACACATCATCATATCCCACCAATTGCGTAGATCGATGTTCATGCTGTTGATCACTGGATTGTCTGGTTCAGACTCGATTATGTACAGACAGCCGCCATATAGCTGGAAATTGAATATTGCAGAGTACGATTTACGGGACCAAGTGCTCAGGCTAGCTGACTTGGCTGACACATGTCATCATATCCCATTGCATCCCAATTGCGTAGATCGATGCACAAGCTGTTGATCACTGGATTGTCTGGATTGATTATATACACAGGGCTCCAGATAACTTTTGGGGGTGTGGGTGTACTTACTCCTGATATTGTAAGTGGAGGTGCACTGAGAATTTTGAAGGAGTACTGACATGTTTTTGTGTGAGCGAGTTGGTCATGTGGTTTGTTATTTATAATATTAAACAACTTTTCAGCTATTAAACTTTATATATGTACAAAGGTATTTATGTGTGTACATGATACGCTTTAAATCTTATATTATGTCATACTGCATTGATTTTTAGGCGTACATTACGCTTGTACGTCTCTTATCTGTAGCCCTGTATACAGATCGCAGCCATATAGCTGGAATATTGCTGAGTGCAGCGTTAAACAGCAAATCACCAACCAATGAAAAACACCATTCCTTTTGGGTGAAATGTGTGAAGGATAAATGCAGGACATAGGCTGGCTATTGATTTAGGATATAGAGATTGATAATCGATAACTATATATCCATAAGTATTGGAGAAGTAACTTTCAACAAACAGATCTCTAAGAAATCAACATTTCATGTCACTGGTGATTGTTAACATTTATGCATGGATTACTAACAAAATGGCATCCTGAGCATAATTTAGAAACAGGCAGTGAAGAAAGAGTTAGAGCGTAAGTAACTCCAGGTATTATGTGAGTAAATTAGGAACAAAATATTTCCTCACAATAGTTTATGTACAATACTATCAATGACACAATTTTCAAACAGATAATAATTATTAATTCTTCGTATTGGTGTGTTACATATTTTAAATGTGTGAAATGAGTTTTGGGATCAGTGTCAAGGCAATATATGAAATCAGACTTTTTGTCTTATAGACAACCAGGCCAGTTACCGTGATGTTTAAGTACATATTTCTGATACCCAGGAACCTTTGCATAGATAGCTGATGGTAGGTTAATTAATCTGTTAATTCATTTTGGTGCTTTTACAATATATATTTTGATAAAAAATATTTAGTTTGTGATGGGTAGTTAATACATGTATAGTAATTTCAGCCAGTAATACATGTTCACTTGAGTCATTAGGATTGTCTGGGTTTGTGGAAAGCCAGTTGGTAGTTAGAGTTACCTCCCTTGTATGGGGTCTTGGGTTCATGACATTGTGTTTACAATTCTCCAGAAATATAACATCTGTGCTGCCACAAATATCCCGATATTTCAGAGGAAAGTTCTTATTAGTTCTAGTTCCATTGCTCTATTTTATGCATACTTATATTTGACGGGACCAACTTAGAAACTTGTTATACAGAATTTTGTAAAAACAAAATAGTCTTTGAAGTTTGTAAGGAAGTAAACTGTAACTAAAGTACAACTAAAACTATCAATGAAAATAACGTAGGAAATGTTATCAGTGGAAAAAATGAGACACAATTGTTGATAGATATGTATTGTTTCTAAAGTACTCAAAGAAATATAAATATAATGTTCTTTGGCATTTATTTGTTTATTAGTTCGTTAAAATAGGTAGTTTTAACAAATATTAGAACAACTTCCCAACTAGGCCTTTTAATTTGGTCCTCTATTTATCAGCCAAAATACAATTTTACAGGTGAAAACAACACAAATTTGCAAACTAACAAATTTAGAAACATTTTGCGTCACAATCAACAATGTGTGGTAACAACTACCTGCAGCATTGTTTTAGATGGGAAGATGCATTTGCATGTGTGTTGCTGTGGCGAGTGTGCAATTTACAGTCAAAGCTGTGATTGACCTAGTAAAAACAGTCACCTTTAAACAAGAGTACAGGAATGAACTAATGTACTGAGAAAATGCCTAAATCAACTATTTTGTATATCAGTTAGGATAAAAGAAATAAAGGATGAATGGCAGGTTACATTTTTCATAAAATAATTTATATACGTGAACCTACGGAGAGTACATCATCACATTTGCATACTATAGCTTGCATCAGGAACGTACATTTTGACTTGACTTGAAATTTCAAGGGGTAAATGACACGAATTGCTCTCCTAGAAACTCATCTATTTCGGATGATTTTACAAAAAGTGTTAACAAATGTTTGGAAAAACAATAGTCATAGAATATTTAACAATCAAACTTAAGTTGTGTTCAAAACTATGAAATAAACACCAAGAACCATTTATTTCTGTTTCCGTGAGTACTTTACTCCTTCTTCCATTATGCTGCTCTCTTTATCTGGAGACTTACCTTGGCTTACTGCAAGGACTGGCACGGCTAACTCTAGTCCCAATACCTCTCTAAGTAAGCTACACCCATTTCTGGTGTCCCCTGCCGTGATGTTGCTGGAATATTGCTAAAAGCGGCGTAAAACCAAAGTCAGTCAGCTAAGTAAGCTACTCTGTTTCTTGGTGTTAATAACAACAACAACAGCAATAATAATAATATTAAAGTCACAGAAAATTACAATTTTACACGTGGTTCCCATGACAACCTTGCTAGGAAATGGGTACCAGACCATGCGTGCAATGTGGACAGCACTTAGCTTTAGTTTTCAGTTTGACTATTTCTGAGTTAGGTTTTGCATGTTTTTCAAGTTTATAGACACAGACTTCCATAAAATACTATAATGCAGTGTTGAGTAAATGATTTCAAGATGCGTCAAATCCTGTCTAATTCAAATATTATTAGTTCATAATCTTTGTTTCTATTCCCAATGAATTCCATTTCTTTACTCTTATGTCATATAAATGACAAATTTGATGTGTCTTCATCCCAGAAGCCTTTTCTATTGAGGATATTCAACTATACAATCAAACTTAGCTTGGCATATTTGAAGTCAACCGTATTCCTTGTCACATTCCATTCAACATTAGTACCCCGCCTTGATATTGCTGGAATATTGCTAAAAGTGGCGTAAAACCATATATATTTTATATACATGTTCTTCTTCATGCTAACCTGTGAAGATTCTGGTTAGAATTGATCTTCAGTAACCCATGCTTATCGTAAGCGCGACTAATGAGATTGGGTGGTCTGACTCTGACTTAGTTGACACATGTCATTGTATCCCGGTTGCGTATATCAATGCTCATGCTGTTGATCACTGGATTGTCAGGTCCGGACTAGATTATTTCCATACCATTGCCATATAGCTGGAATATTGCTGAGTGTGGCGTAAAACTAAACTCACTCACTCATCCCAATGCTTCACATTGCATTCAACATGCCTTACATCCTGGCTGTCCTCACTACATTTCACATTGCATTCAACATGTTCCAAAATTCCTGCGTTCACATTTTATTGGACATTACCCTTTCATTTTCCATTCAACGACCAAGAGAATTGATTGACTGACTTGGCTTGAATATTAACGTAAACATTTTGGTCCAATTTGCTGAAAATTCACATTCCCTCAAACATATTCACATTTGCCTCTCTGGTAGTATTTATACATATTTGTATCAATTTTCTTTAGTATGGTTCAAATGTTCATATGCTCTTACTCTTAGCTATGGAATAACCTGTGGACTTCCACTTGGGCTGTCAATATCTACCTGTGAATTATAATTCATGGCCATCTGTGTCATTTATGAATTTGTCCGTGTCACATATGGAGGTAACAGTTGCCTTCTGGTCACAAAGTGTCAATATTTTATCAAACAGAATACATTTGAGGTCTTTATTGACCAGCCGATAATTCTTTCTTATTTTCCAGAACAACTAAAGGTTGAGATGGATTGAAGAATTTCAATATGTTTCTTTCACAATAATGTGGAGTAATTTCAAATAATTTTCTGTGACAATTTAGCATCAATTGACACTTAAATTGCAGTATTGTCTATGATACCAGCTAGATTATCCATAGCATTTCCTCAGCCCGTGAAATGTTAATCATTGGTCTCATACAAATTGTCTCAATGTTCTGTTGTGCCTTATATTTCTGCTTTGTTATCGTGTGAGGTGATTTGGGAAATGGAGCGTTTGTCTGTGAGAATCAAAATTCAGATCTGATTGCCCAGGTGTAGGCGATTCTGTTCTACTGAAATAGCCATGAACAGTAGTTAATAGAAATATTTATATAGCACTTTCGATGAATTGCTTTTAAATTTTGAAAAAGTGATAGCTTGCTTTTGATTATGACCAGAACAAGAAGACAAGAAAGAATTAAGTTCACAATAACTGGCAACAGTCACAGCTCTTAGTCTTCATTTACCGCCTCCATGGTGTAGTGGTTAGAGCATCCGCCCGGAGAGCGGAAGGTCGCAGGTTCCATCCCCGACCGCGTCATACCAAACGACGTTAAGATATCGTACTTGTTGGTCCTTGCCTGGCGCTCGGTATTAATGGGTACAACAAGGACTGGTCGGCTCGGAGTCAGTATAATGTGTCTGAGTTGGGTATTCATGCTTCACTGCGCCATGGTATCTCAGTGTGCTAGCACTATAAAACCAGCTTCAGTCTGGGCTAGTACAAGCAGCTGCACATACACATACACACACTTGCACGTCGTCATATGAGCGAAATATTCTCAAGCACGACATTAAATCAAATTTCACCTCACCTCACCTTAGTCTTCATTTGTCTCTGTACATGGTACAGGCCTTGTAAAGGTTGTTTGGAGTCTCTGTCTGTCTTACAGTGGCTCCAGCCATGTTTCTAGGTTCCAGGACAAAAGATCTCCTGCAGTACTGGCTGTCTTCCACTTAATCCAACTGTTTCTGTGCTGCAGGATGATTGAACACTGTTGAGCATCCAGGACCATCATCCAGTGTTTCTAACTATGTTTCTCTGTTACAATACTTGTGAAGATCGGGTTGAGGACTGTTGTCCAGTGGTTCTATCCTAATTATGTTTCTGTGTTGCACCATGAAGATCGCTGAGACGTCAGCATTATCATCCAATGATTCTAAACATATTTCTGCGTTACAGGAATCTTGAAAATCACTGAGATTCTTGGACTGCCATCCAATGATTCTAACCACGTTTCTGTGTGGTGGTACTCTTCAAGATCCCTGAGAGTTTAGGACCCTCATTTAATAGTTCTAACTAAAAAATGTTTCTCTGTTACAGGACTCGTGAAGATTGCCGAGAGTCTTGGCCTGTCCTTCCTGGCACCAAGGAAGAAGATAACGGTCCTCCTCATCGGTAACCATAGTGCTGGCAAATCCTCCTTCATTAACTGGTAGGTCTTCATCTTCTTACACCGCCAATGTCTGTGGTTTGGATATTTTGTAACATTTGTCTTGCAATGCCAAGCGTCCGATTGAATTCTTTTACGTGTGGGACCACTCATGTTTGGAAGCCAGGTGTGCAGGGATAGATAATGGCTTTTGCCAACATTGCGTCTTTGTATCCCGATTGTATGGATTGTTGTTATCAGTAATGATCACTGGATTGTCTAGTCCAGATTACTTACTGGCCTCTGTCGTCAAGCTGGAATATTGCTAAGTGTGACAGTCACATGGAATTTAGACATTGTTGTATCTTAACGTGACATCTGCATTGACCTCTGTACAGTCCCCAGAAGCAGACATTGGCGGTTAGTGTGAATTGTACAGTAATATTTACAGGTTTTTGATTGTTGTGATGCTTTATGTACAGTGTTTGAAATTAAGACTGGCAATAAATCAAACATCGAACTGATACTTCTGAGCAAGCAACAGTCGGCAACTTGTACAAGGATTGCTACCATGACCAAGATCTAACGTTGATGGCCCCTCCGGGACTCGGCACATCCTCCATATGTATCTTCACAACCATCCTAATTCTTTGCTTATTGTTTGCTTAAATTGTCATTATTAAAACTTCTAACCACTGGCGTGCTTGGCCCAGTCTTCATTATTTATAGTTCACTGCTTGATAGCTGGAGTCATGCGGATTGGCTTAAAATTATATTCACTCTCTCAATAAAATTTGTTCAGATGTTTGAAATTTTGTATTGCCTCCTACTTTCTGACACTGTAGTAGTGTTGTATGCATATTGTGCAAATATATGAATGATCAGTTTCAGTCAGTTACCATGTGAAAATAGCAGCATATCTCATCACATCTCATGAAATAAAAACTTGTGTCCCACATAACATTTTTGTGCAGGTAATGAAATTGAATCTCTGGCATAGAACAGATAAACAAATCCTTTTTTGTGAAGACCACAGACAAAAGGACTCATTGCCGGGTCCCTCGGAACATTGAAAGCAAATGTAGTAGATGACATATCGACAGATATTCAACACGATCTTTGATCGCAAAATGTCATCCATTCTTTATGTCTGAGAGTGCGTTTTTCTGTGATAGTCCTGGGTGTTGGGAGGGGTACAGTTGTCTGAACGGCGTCGGTTGTGAATGCCATAAATATATGACATGTTCGAATCCTGCTTTGCCTTGATGATGTTTCAAGGTTTGTCATCCATCATTCCAGTGCTCATGGGTTTCACGACAGTGGTAAGTAAATGTGTAACACCTGCATCACCTAGGTCTTTGCTCCTAGATCAAGATGACACATTGTGAGGTAAATGGACTACTGTTCAAAACAGCATTAACCAAACTCACTAGTATTGTCTTATGTTTGATGACAAAACATACTCTGAGCTCACCAGATAGAGGGTTTCACCATTCAGTGCCAAGAAGGCTGCAGTGAAGAAATGAACTGTCACAATCGGTTCTATGGAGCCACAGTGAAGCAAGTGATTTATCAGGATCAGTGCCAAGAAGGCCACAGTGAAGAAGTGGACTCTCGGTGTCAGTGCCAAGAAGGCCGCAGTAGAGAAGTGGACTCTCCATATCAGTGCCAAGAAGGCCACAGTGAAGAAGTGGACTCTCCATATCAGTGCCAAGAAGGCCACAGTGAAGAAGTGGACTCTCCATATCAGTGCCAAGAAGGCCACAGTGAAGAAGTGGACTCTCCATATCAGTGCCAAGAAGGCCACAGTAGAGAAGTGGACTCTCCATATCAGTGACAAGAAGGCCGCAGTAGAGAAGTGGACTCTCCATATCAGTGCCAAGAAGGCCACAGTGAAGAAGTGGACTCTCCATATCAGTGCCAAGAAGGCCACAGTGAAGAAGTGGACTCTCCATATCAGTGCCAAGAAGGCCACAGTGAAGAAGTGGACTCTCCATATCAGTGCCAAGAAGGCCACAGTGAAGAAGTGGACTCTCCATATCAGTGACAAGAAGGCCGCAGGTAGAGAAGTATATCAGTGCCAAGAAGGCCACAGTGAAGAAGTGGACTCTCCATATCAGTGCCAAGAAGGCCACAGTGAAGAAGTGGACTCTCCATATCAGTGCCAAGAAGGCCGCAGTGAAGAAGTGGACTCTCCATATCAGTGCCAAGAAGGCCACAGTGAAGAAGTGGACTCTCCATATCAGTGCCAAGAAGGCCGCAGTGAAGAAGTGGACTCTCCATATCAGTGCCAAGAAGGCCGCAGTGAAGAAGTGGACTCTCCATATCAGTGCCAAGAAGGCCGCAGTGAAGAAGTGGACTCTCCATATCAGTGCCAAGAAGGCCACAGTGAAGAAGTGGACTCTCCATATCAGTGCCAAGAAGGCCGCAGTGAAGAAGTGGACTCTCCATATCAGTGCCAAGAAGGCCGCGAGTGAAGAAGTGGACTCTCCATATCAGTGCCAAGAAGGCCACAGTGAAGAAGTGGACTCTCCATATCAGTGCCAAGAAGGCCGCAGTGAAGAAGTGGACTCTCCATATCAGTGCCAAGAAGGCGCAGAGTGAAGAAGTGGACTCTCCATATCAGTGACAAGAAGGCCGCAGTAAAGAAGTGGACTCTCCATATCAGTGCCAAGAAGGCCGCAGTGAGAAGTGGACTCTCCATATCAGTGCCAAGAAGGCCACGGTGAAGAAGTGGACTCTCCATATCAGTGCCAAGAAGGCCGCAGTGAAGAAGTGGACTCTCCATATCAGTGCCAAGAAGGCCACAGTGAAGAAGTGGACTCTCCATATCAGTGCCAAGAAGGCCACAGTGAAGAAGTGGACTCTCCATATCAGTGCCAAGAAGGCCGCAGTGAAGACCTGGACTCTCCATATCAGTGCCAAGAAGGCCACAGTGAAGAAGTGGACTCTCCATATCAGTGCCAAGAAGGCCACAGTGCCAAGAAGGCCGCAGTGAAGAAGTGGACTCTCCATATCAGTGCCAAGAAGGCCGCAGTGAAGAAGTGGACTCTCCATATCAGTGCCAAGAAGGCCACAATGAAGACCTGGACTCACCCTATCAGTGCCAAGAAGGCCACAGTAAAGAACTGGACTTTCAATGTTGGCGCCAAGGCCACAATGAAGAACTGGACTTGGTATTGGACTTTTGAGCCAAGCAGAAGATCACAGTGAAGAAGTGGTTTGCTCATGATGTTGGCAGTTTTATGGCTTTGCTCTGTCTGATTGTGTTTGTTGTGCTGTTGTGCCAGTTTGCTGTTGTTGACTGTTGTCTTCTTCTCTGCCCTTTTGCATATGAATTTAAAATTGCAGCCCAGAATGTACATGACTTTCATGAGATGTGGCAACCTAGATCGTGGTATTCAGCCTCCTTGACACACAGACAGTGTGAAGTACTGCTGAGTCATCATGATGCATCTGAAATAAAGCTGAAAGCAGAGTGAACTGATCACTGCCTCACTCACCCAGTTATTGTGAACACACCTGTGATGCAAAATGGCATTTCTGACATTAGAGTGGTATCAATCGATCCAACTGTCCATGTATTGCAACACTCCAGGGTCTGACAGCACACAGACAATCTACAGTATCAATACCAGCATCCTCTTTAAAGATTTATGTAACTTAATTTAATAATTAAAGACCTTATGCTCATATAAAAACAACATACTCTTTGCTATCTTTACAGGAGACATGCATTCGTTCTTTCAGAGCTCCATATAAGGTCCTTATTTGTATAAAGTATGAAAAATGTATAAAAAATAAGAAAGTTTGGAGTTGCAAAGAAATTTGCATGGAAAAAAAATCTTAAGGAAACCCAATCGTAAGACAACACTGTGATATTAACTGATGAAACCCAATCGTAAGACAACACTGTGATATTAACTGATGAAGCCTCTTGTACATCATATTTCTTGACATATCTATATTGATCAAATGCAAGCATAACCTGTACCTGAAGTCGGCTTGTAAATAATGCATAGACAAGATACTACATTATGCTTACTGTTAATTAGACATGTCTATCGCTGTGGGGAGTTAATGTTACACTGCTGAATGTCGACTCAGTGGTGTAAGTAGACCCAATAGACTGTACTTCTGTAACAGTACAGTGAATGCCTAAAGAAAACTGTCAATACCCTACGTGAATAATATCGTGTGAGTAAATAGTTGCTGAAAAACATACGGTGACAAGGCTTTACCTTGAACCATTAGACTAGGGGCCCAAGAGACCCCCAATTTTTTACTGATTTCAAGTAATATCATGGTGAAATGTACGGTACTGTAAGATTTGATTACAGTTACACAAACTGTCTTGTCAAAAATGTAGTACTCTAAATATTGTGCATCTTTATGCAATATATATTTTTCCGCATCCATTATGTACATTTTTGTGTGTTGGATACACATGTTTGTGCTGCATCCAACCCTGTGGAGCCCTGTTCTTATCAAACAACAAACCATCCAGCTGCCGTTTACAACACCAGCAATCTGCAAAACCTCAGAAATAATGCACATATCACACATTGCCATGATGCCAACATTTCTTTGCCACCAAATCTTCATTCCAGGGAGGTAAATGTATTCATCATAGTGACACAGCACCACAACACTATTGGTGCAGTATATGACAACAGTACTTCACTGTTTCAATGCCAACACTAAACACTGGTAAAACACTATAGCATGTGACCAAGGCATGTGAAATTCAGCCAGGAGTCCTGCTCCCTGACTGTCGACAAGGACAAGCACTTCTCTTACAAAGTGTTTTGTTGCATAAACCACTAATCCAAACTGTTCTGCAGACAAAATTTGTCGGCTGGTGTCTTTGCCCGAGTACAAGCACTAGCAGAAGTGTTCCACAGCTACTTAAACATTTGACCTCAGCAGGTAAAAAGGGCAGCAGACGTGATTGCCTCTGCCCCAATGCTCTGTTGCCTTCAGCTTTGTGTCTGGTATATTGATGTAGATTAAATATTTATTTCTGTGTCTGGGTTATGATAAATGCATCGATGACAAGTCAG